CTAGTCACAATTTGACCTAAATGACTAATCAGACCTGCCAATTAAAATGTAGGTTAACACCATATGTAAACATTGGAATTGTAGCATGTGTTTGATGCTGACAGCAGTCCTGATGTTTATCAGTAAAGATAAGTAGCAGAGGTGTGAAGGGATCACTGCTTTGTTATATATGCATGGCCGTCTCATGTGGAGATAAACTTCAGACGCCTACAGCAGGAGATTGTTTGTTTGGTTACAAAGCTAAGTCAATGTAATGCTACCCTATGCACTGAGTCTTAGGCGCCGTTTACACGAGGAGAAAACTGCTTGTATCTGCATAGTTTCGCGTGCGTATAGCCCTATTATTTACACGAGGCCGATAGAAACTGACCCCACAAACGATAACGGGTCCCAAGGTGGATAGATTTGCAAACGAAACGCTCTGGGGGGTCAACCGAGTCCGTGTAATCGCCTCTATACGAATATTTCCTGAAAAAATAGCGATAGCCCCACCTCTCCCCACCTCTCCCCACCTCTCCCGCTCACTGCTGTAGCAACTATCAAAAATAGCTGTGTTAATTAAACGCACAAGGGGTTCTTGAATGAAATAATATTATAAAAGGCAAACCAGAATTGTTAACGCCCAATATACTCCTTAAACAAAATAAACAGAGTCAGATTTCATGCATTGATCCATTATATTGACAAAGGTGCGATCTCACCCGGTGTTTGTAGAGAATATCTCTCTTTCTGAGCGCGTCCTCTCCACGGAGACGTGCTTCTTGGTCGGTCGATGCAATATCCACAGATTCGGTTTCTTTCAGTTAACTTCCCTGTTGCATTTATCCATATGCTGAGGAAATGACTATATCCCGCTGAATACCAGCAATCGCCACACACTTCCTCCTGTCAGTAGCTACTGCTAGTGCTACTGCTACTGACCATGCTACAGATATTAGTGCAAAATCTACAGCTCCTCTACCACAACCATCAGCAACAAGTGGACATGGAGAATTACATGAACTACATGTTGCTAAATACACCGCGGGGCATAAACAGAAGGGTAGCCATGGCAACATTGCTGCGGGGGCTGCTGGGCTGCTCTTCTTCGCTGCTTTTGGTGTATTTTGTGGCGGAAGTTACAGCGCCACTTACAGTCCTGGCATATGTACTACAGCGTTTCCAGCGGCCTCGTTTGAACAGACACGTTAAATGAAACGAATGCATGTGAGCGGAAGACTTTTTTGAATACGCATACTGTGCATAAACGCAAACGTTCCCGTGTGAAAGAGGCCTTAGGCTGGTGCCCCACGAGGATGCATACGGGAAAACGCATACACAAATGCTGTCCATATATCCATTGTTGTTTTTATACATTTCTTACATGAAACCTTTTTCTAGTGCTTACATCCTGATTGCTGAGTCAACAATAAAGCAGTTTGGTGTTTATGGACGTTGGCATGCGTATTTGTTAATAGGTTCATGTGTGTAGCATTTTTAATGGCAGTGTTTTGAAAATGGCAAACCAGTGAATATGTCAGATTTCTGTGTCTTACTTGGAGAACCGTGTGCAGTGTTTTGCAAAAAGTGCCAAGTTGAATTGCAAATTGGGTGCAGACCTGAAAATGTGTTTAGAGTTTTGAGGACTTGACCTGAGGTTTTGCTCTTTGAGTGTGAGTTTAAATAATTGTGCTTTATGTGAGATTTTAGTGTGTTAGCAACTGAAAAAAACTGTAATATATAACACTTGCAAGTAACTTTCAAGTCCTCTGGCATCTGCTTCTTAGCATTTACTATACATGATGAAAATCCATTTAAATATACTTGCTTTATTACTTTATATCTTATTGTTTTGTTCAGGTGGGAACATGTGTTGCAGCAGATGCAAACCCTGCAGCTACGATCACGTGGAAAAAGAACGGAAAGCCCTTGGTAGCTGATGGGAAAAGTAAGTCACACAAAACAAGATGCCAAACGTAAAATCACAATGTTTAGTTTTTACCCAGAAGGACAATCGTTTTACCAGGAGATAACAGACACATCTTCCTTACTTGTCACTGAAGGATGCAATAATAAACATTTGAGTGGGATCAATTTTTAGGTCAGACAGTCAGGGGGGCAGTTTGATCCCACCCTCTGCTGTCACCATGTTGAAAATCATGGGCAAGATACTTAACTCCTGTAGGCATGTCTTCAGAATTCAGTGTATGTACGTCACTATATATATTTAGGAGCAGCCAATGAACCTGACGCTAAATGCTAAACCTTTATCGCTAATGCTAATGCTAGTGTGTGTGTGTGTGTGTGTGTGTGTGTGTGTGTGTGTGTGTGTGTGTGTGTGTGTGTGTGTGTGTGTGTGTGTGTGTGTGTGTGTGTGTGTGTGTGTGTGTGTGTGTGTGTGTGTGTGTGTGTGTGTGTGTGTGTGTGTGTGTGTGTGTGTGTGTGTGTGTGTGTGTGTGTGTGTGTGTGTGTGTGTGTGTGTGTGTGTGTGTGTGTGTGTGTGTGTGTGTGTGTGTGTGTGTGTGTGTGTGTGTGTGTGTGTGTGTGTGTGTGTGTGTGTGTGTGTGTGTAGCCGTTCTGATCACTCCCAGCATGAAGCTGGATCCAGCTTCAGGCCTCTCCACCACCTCCTCCACCCTCCAGTATGCAGCTTCCAAAGAGGACAATGTCTCTGTCTTCTCTTGCATGTCCACACACCAGCTGGCCAATCAGGAGGCTGAGCTGGAACCCTTTGCCATTCACTGTAAGTGCAATACAGCACCGCATGTACCACATTTGAGAAATGTAGTTAAACGCTTTGTGTTAAATGACTGACGTGATGAATTGAATGAAATGTGCTACATGGAGTGTCTGATAGGCCAAGTCCAGCACTCATTTCAGAAGGATATGGCTAGTGTGAGATATTAAGTGCAGTAACAGTTTGCCACTGCCTGGAACAAAAGGGCCTTTTGGTATACTCATGATATTTATTTTAGATTTGATCAAATATATGTACAATGAAAGGGGAAATAAAGCTCTGAAACTCTTCTTATTCACCTCAGAGACCATCATCCAGAGTAACAGTAAAATAATTTAGAACAAAGAACTCCTACAATCTTTTCTGACATCAAATCCATAATCAACTTTTTGTATTCACAAACAAAACATATAGAGGACACTTTGCCTGATTCTATCTCATATACCTCAGATGTTACAAGCACACTGTGTTGGGTGTGTAAGACTTTTCCAGACGTGATAGAGCTCCAATGCTAGCTTGCGATAGCTGCAAATAAATGTACAGGATTGAAGAACTTGTTGTGTGAGGCAGTTGATCACCAAACTGTGAAACTGTCTCGTCTCTGGCTGTGCAGAGCAGATGGAGTCTTGTTGAGTAAATCAGAGCCCTTGGATCTTGGAAGGCCTTGGCAGGAGCAAGTTGGTGTAAGGGTCTGAGAAGAGGGGCAGTCAGAGGCATCTTCATCTGTGGTGCTACACTAAGTTGTTCTAAATTGATTTTGAGTTTTGGTAAATAAAGCCCTTTTTGACCAGAACACTGACTCTGTGTTTGACCACCAGTTTTCTCTTGGTTGCCCGGTCCTTTTACAGTGGGATACATTCTACTTTGAGAGCTAGTAAGGCGACTGATTTCCAGTTTATTTCTGTGTAGGGTGGTCTACACACTTTGTTGATCAAAGGCTGATGCGGGCACCTTTAGAAATGTGATCAAAATGTTTTTGTCTGTTGCATTTATCTGGATTGTTGAGTTGATCCAGTTTGAGGGAGATTTTCTTTGTCAATGTCAAGCATGCATCTTTTATTTTCTCTACATTCACTTTTTCCCATACTCACCCTCTGAACCTCTTAGATCCATCAGAGAAGGTTAGCCTCCAAGTTCTGTCCAAGGTACCGGTCGTAGAAGGAGATAACGTCACGTTGAAGTGTCACGCTGATGGAAACCCCCCCCCCAGCTCCTTCGTCTTCCACATGAAGGTCAGTCATGCTAAAACCTGTCTCCAGGACACTCTGGACTTACAGCCACTCATTACCACTGAACCTACAGTATATTTGAGTTCTACTCCTTTGTAATGATCACAAACTTAGAAAAAGATACTATTAGAAATGAAAACTTTGATAAAACTGTTCAAATGCAAATGTAATGATTGCACTTTCCTAATTATGAGTTATTGCTTTGGATGTAAAAGTCCCCCTCCTTCCTATCTTCTTTCTGTCTGATATTCTTTCACTACAGCAGAATCTAACGTTGTCCTTTACCCCCTCCGGCTCTTCTCTCTCCACCAGGGCCAGAAAGCGCTGGTGAACAATTCGGACACCTACACGCTGACGTCCATCAGCAGAGAGGCTGGGGGGGAATACAAATGCTCCCTGGCTGACAACGAGAAAATGGAGTCCTCCCAAAGCATTGTTGTTAGCTGTGAGTACTATGAGCTTCAGCATGCTGCACCACAAAGAAGACAAATCCTCCAACCCCCCCACCCCCAGCTCTTTCCACCTTGAATGAACTTTCTTAACTTCCTATATATGATCAGGCAATTTTATTCACTGTTAATAAAGTCATGGGAGCAGAGTAATTATAATCTAATTTATACCCTGAGAGTGCAGCTTGGCAGGAAGGCAGATGGGTGAGGGAGCAGAACTCATTAGAACATTCTGACAGAGAGTGAGTCAAATGTGAGGAGGATCTAAAACAAAGAAGTGTTTTATAGCCCCCCCAACTTTTCAGATCACTTTGTGACGAGGAGAAAAACACAGTGTTCTTTTTTAGCATCTCTTGAAGTGATTATTATTATTATTTCATGATCATAGTTAAACACTTATTGGATATACACAAAATTCACATGACTGATGTCAATAGTATATTTCAAACATTTGGTAAAAAAGCGTCACTGTAGCAACGTTTCTCACACTCATGGAGCTCTGCCACTCAAGGAAGTTATATCCAACTTTGTAGGACACAATACTTGTTAGTGGTACAATTCTTTGTTGATTTGGGTGTTCATATGACATTTCTCGACAAAAAAAACAACAACCTTTGAACTCTTTAGAAGGTTGACATAAAAATGAAATATCAGCAGTAAAATGGTGTCTGTCAGTGGACCTGGTGATAAGAGGCAGAATAACTCAACAGACATGTCCTCCTCCTGTCCTCTCAGACCTGGACCTGCGTCTGACCCCCTCTGGGCCCGTGCGGAAGGCAATAGGGGACAGCTTGTTGGTGAAGGTGGAGCAGAGCGCCTCGGGTGAGGCTCAAGTGTCGTGGATTAAGGTAATGCTGCTGGGGTTTGGTTAATGATGTATGGGGTCTATTTAATAGACTATAAAATAATGTCACACATGCATTGTGGTTACTATATTTCTATTGAAATAACAACTTCTTGAATAAAGGAAATATAATATTCATCCACATACTGGGTTAGAGGGCATAAGTTGAAGACACTGGCCTTTATATCAGAGAAACATTAGGGTGCACGTTGCCCCTATTGACACAGAGAGACTGTTTTCAGAATGGACAGAAAGTGAAGCTGCCGGAGTTCACCAGGCTGACGTACGCTGATGCAGGAGTGTATGTGTGTGAGCTCTCCATGCCCGGCCTCACGCGGAGCCACAGCTTTGAGCTGATAGTAGAAGGTGAGTTTTGGTGTCTGTGTCACACTCCACACCTGAGTGGAACATTTAAATACATTTACATGTATATACTCTTATGTTAAAGGGGACCTATCATGCAAAATGCACTTTTGTACGTCTTTTATACATGAATATGTGTCCCCGGTGTTCCAGGGAACTCACCAAGTGTCAGAAAACACAACCCTCTCTATTTTCCTCCATACCCAAATCTCTAAAAAAGGGGCTGCAACGGATCTGATCAAAACGGATCCAGATTTGAACACTGTCCTGACGTCAGGACGGTGGCGCTACGGCTATTGGGCCAACTCCACCAATCAGGAGGAGACAGCCACGGCCATTGCCGTTCGAAAGCGCTGGAGACGCTGTAGTACATATGCCAGGCCTGTAGATGGTGCTGTTCTCACTGAATCTGCCCTTGCAAAAACAGAGCTAACATTTTTCAAATTGAGTGAAATGAGGCATGGCTAAAATGCATGATCTGTTTGGTATTTTGAAAAAAAAAAAGTATAAATATGCCTTATATAGGTATGGTCCTACACTATATTATTCAAATATAGCATGATAGGTCCACTTTAAGTCACACAATCCAATTTTCTTAAGAGAAAGAAATCTGCCAGGATGGGAATTCAGTTATTTGGTATTACTGTATCCCTACTCTGCAATGCATCTTTCTCTCAGGACTGAGGTGCTTTCAATAATTGAAACCCATAAGTACACCCAGCTTCTAAATCATTTTTCTGGAAAGTACTGGAAGTCATTAAATTGTTCCAACTAGTGTAAATCCCATCACCCATCTAAACTTTGTTGTTAACAGGAAAGCCAGAAATCACGGGCCTGAACAAACACCGCCCTGATGGCGCCAGCTACAAAGTTCTGACCTGCGAGGCAACAGGAGTTCCAGAACCCAGCTTCCACTGGAGCGTCAACAGTACGAACGTAAGTGTGTGTGTGAATCAGGGTTCGAGTTATGTGGGAGCCAATGGGAGCTGAGCTCCCATAATGAGGGGTCTGAGCTCATATGAAAGCAGTGAAATCATACATCTGTGGGGGTCAATGTATTAACATTACCAACAACCATTATTTTAATCACAAATAATGCATGTGTCAATGTAATGAGTTATTTACGTTAACGAGGTAAATAGGCTAAAAGAAAAACATGTTTTCCAAAAGAACTACGCATCTTATTCTCTCTTGAATGACAATATGCCTGTACTTCACCTCCAAGGTGCGCAATCAATTATTACGCAATCTATGCCTGTGAGCGTGCTGTGCCGAGATGATGTGTTATGTGGTGTGCGTAGTTGAACCTGTGTGCGTGTGTTAGTTTTAAAGGGTGAAGGGCCGTTATACCCCCTGGTTCACTTCTGATCTGGCAGCCCTCTTACGCAAGAGGAATCTCCTTTGGGCTGCTGCGAGGAAGACAGGCTCTGAGGCTGACTGGCTTCTTTTTCGTCAACTACGTAATCGCTGTACTGCTTCCATTAAAAAAGCCAAAAGCGATTTTTACTTATCCCAGACCACAGACAGTTTGAACGATCCTAGGAGATTTTGGCATGCCATAAAATCCCTCTCTGCCAGCTCTCGCTCCTTAGAGCTGCCTCCAAACATTGTTGTTGACTCCACCCCTGTGTCAAATAAGACAGAGATGCTTAATTGTTTTAATAAACATTTTATTGCGTCCAGTTCCTTGTTTGACACATTATCTTTTGGTAAATCATCTCCCTCCATCGCCAATAGTCATGCCTCCAGTAGCCACACTTTCTCCTTCAACCCCTTCAATGTTGGGGAGGTTTGTAAGACTCCAAAGGGCCTAGATACCAAAAAATCAGCAGGCCCGGACGATCTCCCCCTTATTTCTTACGGCTAGCTGCAGATATTATAGCCAAACCACTGTGTCATGTTTTTAATCTTTCTATAACAAACAATGTCATTCCAGATGTTTGGAAAACTGCAAATGTTCTCCCCTTATTGAAAGGTGGTGATCCCATGGTGATGAATAATTACAGACCAATTTCCAAGCTCTCTATTTTAGCTAAAGTACTTGAAAGGCTGGTGAATTATCAAATCAAAGAATATTTAAGCTTGAACAACATTCTATCTCCTCACCAGTCAGGCTTTAGGAAGCAGCACAGTTCAGTAACGGCTGCTTTGAAAGTAGTGAATGACATTGTTGAAAGCTTGGACGCAAAGAGCTACTGTGCTGCCCTTTTTATAGACTTATCCAAGGCTTTTGATACTGTGGACCATGGCATTCTATGCCAGAAGCTATCTTATATAGGCCTGTCTGACCAAGCTGTTGGTGATACTGTGGACCATGAAGTTATCTTATATAGGCCTGTCTGACCAAGCTGTTGGTTGGTTTGAAAACTACCTTTCGAATCGCAAGCAATGTGTAAAATTCAGCGGTCTCTCCTCAAGCTTTCTTAATGTGCCCAGAGGTGTTCCTCAAGGTTCGGTCTTGGGACCGACCCTTTTTACTATTTATATAAATGATGTGGGTAAAAGCATTGATGCCTCTGTACATCTATATGCAGATGATACTGTTGTGTACTGTTGTGCTAGCACTGTTGCCCTTGCATTTGAACGTCTGCAGTCTGCTTTTGACCCTTTTCAGTCACATCTGTTCCACCTCAGGTTGGTGTTAAACTCAGATAAGACAAAAGTCATGTTGTTTTCCAATAAGAAAAGGTTACCAACTGTTCTTCCCTGCATCATGTCTGCACAGCATAACCCCATTGAAGCTGTTAACACCTACAGATACTTAGGCATCACTATAGATGAAAATCTCTGCTTCAAACAGCATATTGACAATCTCTTAAGGAAATTGAAATTAAAACTGGGATTCTTTTTTAGAAATAAGGCCTGCTTCTCCACAAGTGCGAGGAAACGGCTTGTAGCTGCCACATTTTTGCCGCTCTTGGACTACGGGGATGTTGTGTACATGAACGCCTCAGCTCACTCCCTTCATCTGCTGGACGCTGTCTACCATGGGGCTCTGAGGTTCATAACCAACTGTAAACCCCTCACACACCATTGCACGCTGTACTCTTTAGTTAACTGGACATCATTACCAATGCGCAGATCACTGCACTGGTACAAATTCATCTATACCGTCTATGCTTGGACTGCTGCCCCTCTACATATCCACTTACATATCACACAAACGGTACAGCTATAGCCTACGATCTCAAAATGACATCACTCTGTCCGTCCCCTCAGTTCGCACGGTGCTTGGGAAAAAAGCCATATCATACTCTGCCCCCTCGACCTGGAACACACTTCAGCAGGAACTTAAGCTGACCAGTTTGACACCCATCACAGATTTTAAACTAATTTTAAAAAAGCTGGAGAAATCATCTGTGGGTGTTTGCACCTGCTATATCTGAATACTGTATGGATTTCGGTGACTGCTTTTTTTACGATGTTGTATTTTGTTGTTGCCTCTGTGTTTAGTGTCCTGTCTGTCTGTAACGTTGTGTGGTAGTGTTACCACTGAACAGGTCTCTCTTGAAAATGAGACCTTGTGTCTCAATGAGATTTTAAACCTGTATAAATAAAGGCTAAATAAAAAAATAAAAAAAAGACCCCCATAAAGCTCAGATTATAACTCGAACCCTGTTGTGAATTAACCAATATCACAAATGACCCAGGGTCTTCACAGTGTGTAGAGCAAATGACAACAATGTGAATGATTCAGATTCAATTTCTTTTTCAAGATGGTTCATTATCATAACATATACACGGTGTTAAAATGTAATGTATGATGAACTTAGATCACAGGGTCCTCAACAGTGCAATTACAAGAGTTAAAAAAAAACACAAAAAAAACCCAACAACAATAAGAATGTTAAAAAGTCTTATGGGATGAAACTCCCTGAGTCTGGTGGTTTTAGTCCTGATGCTGCGGTACCGCCTGCCAGACGGCAGCAGACAGAACCTGAGCCGCTGGGAGTAAAGGTCCTCCATGGATGGCAGCTCCGTCTTGGTGATGTTCTGTGCAGTTTTCACCACCCTCTGTAGATGTATATGGAAAGATAGGGCACCTCTCTAGCTACTAGTCCACTCAATGTTTTTTTGGTCGATCGGGACTCGAACCTGTGACTCTTCGGTCCCAGGGGCTAGTTCCTACAGACTGAGCCACTGTCGCCCCAATTGATGTGCCATTAGGCGCTTTCACACCGGAGTACTTTTACCCGTACTTTTCCCGTTTAGTTCCGTTAGTGCCTGGAATTTTGCGTTCACACCAAAAAGAGAACTTAGTTCAGAGAACTTTTACCCCCATGTTTTGTGCCTGCTAGAGAGGTGGGACTATCCTGGGGAGAAAAAAGTACCAATTTCGATTGGCTGGGCGAATTGTATGGGATTAGTTTTGTTTCATAAAGATAAAGCAACACTTTCTCAGAATCAAGCAAAACTAAGACTTTAAAGGTAGGGTAGATAAGTTTGAGAAACCGGCTCGAGATACACTTTTTGTTATATTCCATGGAATGCTCTTAACAAAAAATCCATAAAAAAATGTAATCTGTGGAAGCCGTAGTACTGTAAAAAGCACGACCAATCATTTTAGCCGGCCCGGCTAAAATAACTGGATGGCCTACCTGCCTGTCAGCCTTCCATCTGTGCACAAACTTATCTCGTGCCCTCATTGGTCATGTGCGCGTTCGTGTGTGTTGGAGGAGGGGCTCTGTATTTTTTCCGGCTGTGTATTTTCAAATTCTAGCGCACTCGAGCTGGTTTCTCCAAAATTACCTACCCCACCTTTAAGAGAAAAAAAACTGAGTCAAGTAAAATAAATGTCATTTAAAAAATAAAACTATAAGTTGCAAACAAATCATTTGTGTAATCATGTAAACTATAAGTCTTTTTTCTTTGTTTTAACATATCTTTTTGTTTGCAGTTCTCTTTGCTTCTTTCTCAATGATCAGACTTTCGCTCTCGCTGCAGCTCTTCTCGTTTGCGCTCCTTCATTTTTTGTTTTTGATTTTGACACAAACCTCCCAGGTGGGCGGGACTTTCAGGGGTGCGTCCCCATTGGCTACTCAGTTTTTGAGTGACAGCCCAATACACCACAGATCATACAGTGCAACTCATGCAGCAAACTCCAGAGTCCACTCGGCCACGTTAGTGTTGGTGCCTCCTGGGGAGTTTCATGAACATATCGGACTTCTCTTATGCTGTGCATTATACTTGTGTTGTGTAGTTTATACTTTATTCCAACTTTAAATATTTTAATATCTGAACACGCATTTCCCAATTTGGGATCGATAAAGTGTCTGTCTGTCTATTTATTTATTTTATAGATAAAAAACACTATGTATTTTCAAGCTAAAGGTGATACACAATATAAACTGTAAACTGTTATCTTTTCAAAGACATGTTACATTTCAAAAGCATATATTGCTATGTTTAGGACAAACAATTAAAGACTGCTTTAATTGAACAAATTCTACAATATAAAAGTGGCAGATTTGCTTTATTAAACAGACCAGACCTAGGCTGCATACCAACACAATTAGGAACATGCTCACATCTTACTGTGTTGGTCTAAAGAGCTGAAGCATTCATACACAATGGATAAAAACTGTGTTGTCTCATTCTATATCCTGTGAGAAAATGATATACATTTATCATTACAAATTCAACATACTATTCCTAGCCTGAGGAAGATCTGAATAATCAACAGGTCTGAATGGAATCTCTAACATTTTCATGTAGAATAAAGACTAAAGAGTCCATCCATCTTCTCCTGCTTATCCGTGGTCGGGTCGCGGAGGTAGCAGTTCCAAGACAAAAGAGTGATTATACAAATTACATTTATTGAAATTTGAACCAGAAGATGAAGTGTCAAAGAATGTTTTAAATAAAAGGACATAAAACAAAAAAGGTGGATAATAATAAAATCTATTAAATGTATATGTAAAGACATTTGGTCAAATGAAATGACACTGAGCCAGTGATAACAGCTACGCCCAGCGTGGATGAAGCTGGTGCAGGTCTTTCTTCATGCCCCCCCTCCGTGCTGTCCCCTCAGAGGAAGTGGGAAAACGGGATAAGACCTCTGGACACCACGCTGTCTCAATGATCCACTGTTAATATGAGAGGAAAATAAATGTTTTAGGAAATGAAATATATGAAGTCAACAAATAAAACACAGCTCAGGGGCATCATGGACGGTAGGTTTTCCTACAAAGTTAACTCAGCCTCCATTGATTTTCATATCAAATTAGCATGTTAATAAAATAAGCTATCATGGCTTATACTTGCATATCTAAACAGAATCATGAAAGCCTGTTGGTAGTCAGGCACACGAGTCCGTTTGAGTGTGTCTGAACTAGGGGTTTCACCAACTAATCGACTAGTCCACTAGTCAACTACCTCTACCACTAGTCGGCGCTGTAGGCCCTAGTTATCTAGTCGTGAACAAAATGGAGGCAAACGTGAGAGATGAGGATGCCGACATTGGCGCTGAGGTGCTGCAAAATGCTCCAGCAAAACACGTCCGACATTCAGGGGTCCTCATCTTATGCGCAAATGCGCCGCACCTATGCACTCTACAGTTTCAGTTTTAGCTCCGGCGCTAAAAATTCACGAGCGTGCTCCACTAGCACCCCACCTTTGAACAGCTGTTTGGACCTCATTTCGAGAGCAACAAGAAAACATGGGTCAACAGTGGCGCGGATGAGCTACGGCAGGGGTACTCAAACTTTTTTATTAAAGGTCCACTTGTGAACTTTATACAAGGTCACTGGTCCGGATCAATAGAGTGGCGAAGTCCCTCCCCTTCCGGTGGACCTCCATGGGACCTTATTTCGGAAAAATTATGTATTGAAGTCAATGGAGAGAGAAAGATTATCTTTCGATCCCGTTTGAATTGTGCCACGAATTACACATATGATGTTTGTCAATTTAAAAGATAATTTTGCAAGTAAAAAAAAAAAAAATGTGTCGTAAAACTGTGAAGTAACACATTTGTTTGTGTGAAACGCTCAATGAACTACATCTCTGGTCAACAACACACGTCACCAAGATGGCCGTCACTACTGTCTTGTCAACAAAACGATTGACTACCCTCACTATCACCACAATGAAACACGTCCTGAAGAAGGTCATGCAAAGCTGCCTGCCTGCCTTCCTTTGATTCTCTCTGAACTGCCTGGTCGTTTTAATGTTTAATGTCAACCATTTGTGCAGATAGCATGAAGTAGAGAAGATCGCCGATGCTAACGTTAGCGTTAGCATTTCTCCCCCGGGCTTAAATTGTGTATTATAGAATGATCACACCGGTGACAGTACTATTCAAAGGGTTCACGAAATATGACTACTACTCTTACTGTTTAACATTTTGTGTTACTTAATGTTACTTCATGTTAAGGCTAATAAAAATGACAAGATATATAGATAGATTATATCTATATTGCGCTGATCTTAGGTATCTGAATGGTGGAGGAAAACAATTGTGACATCACTTACGCGACTCTGGGATTTGTAGTCTTTCTAGTTACGTATTTTTCATAGTCTTATATTTCAACAGTTTTACGACAAACTGTGACTTTTTTGACATGGAAATGATTTTTTAAGATTGACAAACATCATATGTGTAATTCATGGCACAATTCAAACGGGATCGAAAGATAAGTTTTCTCTCCCCATTGACTTCAATGCATAATTTTTCCGAAATAAGGTCCCATTACCCGGAAGTAGGTGGGCGTGACTTCGCCACTCTATGCCAGTAAAGTCACCCCCCCCACCCCTGAAACGAAACTGAAATTAAGAAGCAGTTTCTTATGGCGCGCTATGCATGGGGCCCCCTTGAGGGGGTTTCCCGACATGTCGTTGCAGTAAATGAAAGGGTGTACCATGTTGTCGTTGCTGTGGACCTTCTTAATCTACCTTCTTTGGGGGCCCCCTTCTGGTCCAAGCACTTGCCTGCCTTGTCTGCCTTGCCTGTCGGCAAACGGCGCCGCTTTATACACTCACACATTCAATACATACATACAGTATGGTGGCTTGGCTGTTTGTCTGTAGCCAATGCCTTGAACCTCGGCAAAAAAGGCATTAGAAGCATTAGAAAGTCAAGGTAAACTTGCGGTTAACTTGTGGTCTGCAATGAGTGTCACGCTCGCGCACACAAGTAAATATATATGCACGTTCATTCTCACGCGTCAGACACAAGACGCGCGTACACAATGATGTACATTAATTTATCAGAATCAGATTATTAGTATTTTTTAATGATTTTTTATTTTTATATAATGGGACACAGGGTTCGGTCCGGATTGATTTGCAGTTCGGTCCGGATCCGGACCTTGGTCCGGAGTTTGAGAAGCCCTGAGCTACGGGATTACTCATATCCCATATCCCCACAATGGATAACCCTCTGACGTGGTGGGCACAAAACGCGAACCGCTTCCCCCGTTTAGCCAAGCTTTCCAGGAGCTACCTGGCTAGCCACCAGCACCCCAAGTGAACGGATGTTTTCCCTGGCAGGCAACACTGTCACCCGACAGCGGTCAAGCCTCCTTCCCTCACATGTTGATGCTTTGGTCTTCCTTAACGCAAAGCAAAAAACCTGGAAGGGTGGACATCGTTATCGAGGAGGACAGTGACAGCGAGTAAAGTGTTGCGCAAAGCGCACTGGATTTACGTTGCATTTATGTTCTTAACAGAGTTTTTGCAGTAGATTTGGTGAGTCCAGTTACTGTTTTTTATTTAACCCAAATTAAAATGCTGCTTTGTTACAGTGTTTAACGTAACTGTATGCATTGCAATACAAAATACAGTTTTACACCTCTCTTTGTGTGTCTTTATTATGACGTAACAACTAGTCGACTAGTCGACTACTATTTTGAAAAACTTGTCGACTAGTAAATATTGGTAGTTGTGAAACCCCTAGTCTGAACGCTCACTCACTGCTAGCTATGAACTGTTAGGCTACTTAGCTTGCATTGTTATGGATCTAAAGGTAGCAAAAGCTAACTTTCATAGCACAGCTTTTCTTTACTTCTCACTTAAAGGAGAGGTGTCATGGCCATTTCCACGGATCATAATTCCATTGTTGAGGTCTACTAGAATAGATTTATATTGTGCAATTTTCCAAACTCACATTGGTTTCTCATACAGCATCTCTCCAAACTCACATTGGTTTCTCATACAGCATCTCTGTAAACTACGTGTATTCACTGAATTTCACTCTCTGCCTTTAACGGCTCGTTGTAGCTCCAATAGCTCCAGCCCCCACCCTCCCTGTGCGCACAGTGTGCTCTGATTGGTCGGGACGTTGTGAATCGCGCTGAGTTCCGTGGAGGTGTTGTTTCCTTGTTTAGGATACATAGCGAAACACAGCCAAACTCATCCTGAGCACACACAAAGTCACAGCCGAAGTAAAAACAATAAGTGTGGCTTGATATTGAGTAAGAAAAAGGTTGATAAACTCTGTGAGAATGGGTCTGCAGAGAGAATCTCGCCGCGATCCCAACTGTCTGTTATCAGCCTGCAGCCAGGGAGGAGAAATCAGCAGAGCTGCCTGCACTGAGTGTGTGTGTGTGAGGAAGTCCGTGGATTGGTCAATTTGGACCAATCAGCGGGGGCTTAACGTAACGGCTCCGCGGACGTAACGTAACGGCTCCACGGATTGGTCCATTTCGTTCCGGGTACCGCATGACCTTATCGCGTCATAGCTCTGGGCGTGGCTACTGGGTATCCCTACGTAGCGATACCCAGGAAGTAAACAATGGACAATGACGTATCTCCAACGAGGCGTTTTGGGGAGGTATTTTCTGTGTTAGAGTTTTACTCGCTACAGGGTGTACTTTCAGGGTTTTTGACTCTGCAGACCGTTTACATGCATAAAAACCTTCATAACACACAAGGGGACGTGTAATAACCGGAAAAGCATGACACCACTCCTTTAACACAATAAAGAAACAGACCATATAGTACAGCACATACTTACATATATTTTCACTTATAATAATTGAAATGCTGGTTCTTCTGGGGGTGTTCTATCCACGCTCAGCTACCGCACCGCGGTAGAAGCTGCTGGGAGTCCCAGCAGCTTCTACTGAAGCCAGTCCCCAACTCCGGGGACTTCCGGCCGGGGACTCCGGGTGGCAGTATACGCCGTGAAGTTGTTTGCGGCCTGCCAGTAAACCCAAAGCAGAAGAAGAAGAAGTGACGTCAGCGGCTTCATTTGCGTAATCTTCCCTCAGGGAACTTATTCCGGTGTGAACACGATCGGCTCTTTATTTCCATGGGGGTACTAAGTGCTGGGAACTAAGTACGGCAAAGTACTTGTTGTGAAAGCGGCTATTGTGACATTTGCAGTACTTTCCTCTCATGATCTGCATTCACATTTACATTTCTGTGTAGGCCTACGTGTGTGAATAGACAACTTATTGTACAGCTAAAGAGGCTGTGTGAGATTTTTTTTCTCAGAATATGTTTATAGTCTCTTATCCTTGTACTTGTTTTTTGCTGTGCCTTCAGGAAGAGAGCTCTTACATCAACGGCAAGGCCACCCATAAAATCAGTGTGATCCCCAAGCTGAATCTGACCGTCACCTGCAGCGTCAGCAACCGGCTGGGAGACGACACCCTTACCATCAACGTTTCCTCCGGTCAGTTAATGCATCGCTGGGCTCAGAGTCACTTGAGAACAATGAGAGACCATTAGTCTAACAAAACTTAATTTTAACTCTGTGATTTAGTTGCTCCTGCAATCACTGAAAGTTTGCCAAAAGATAAGATAAAACATCAACGATTCAAGTGAAAACATCAACACAATGATATGGACTGTAACAAAGCATCTGCACAGAAAGAAGGAATTAGCAGTTGAATGGTTTTATAAATAAACAGATAAGAAATATATTGAATCTGATTAAAGCACAGCTGGAAGGGAGCATGACGTTCAAGCAAAAAATACAAAAATAAAGTTATTTAAGGATCCTCCGGAGTCTAAGATTACCACTAAGCAGTGTTTGTGGAGATCGGGCTGTTACTCACAGCACTTGAATGTTCAATTCGTTTTTTTACTTCTCGTTGAGACCACTGTTTCAGTTGTTACATTTTCAATAACACAATTTTTTTTTGCTGAATCTAACAGGTGCAGAATGTGTTTATGTGGAACCTTTAAACCAGGGGTGTCAAACTCAATTTCATCGCGGGCAACATTAGCATTAAGGTTGCACTCAAAGGGCCGGTTGCAAATTTAAGACTATATAAATATACATATATAAATATATAATATATATTAAATAATGTATTATATTATATTATTGGCTCTGCATTGGATAATAATCCAATCAGTCCTGGTAATAACTTCATAAATAACTACGTCTGAAAGCAGAAGTCTAGGGCACATCATTGAAAGCAAATATTCAACAATTACATCAAAACTTTTGAAAGAACATCCATAACATGAATCTGTTTGCAACTTATATATATCAATATTCCAATTACTTGTATATAGACTATTCTGCACTATTTCTATTTTTTTTCTATTTAATGCCCATATTTATTACAGAATATATTTGGCTTTCCGTTTTTTTGGACATTTGTTTTGCTTGTCTTATTTTTATGAGTTCTAATTTATTTATGTTTGATTTCAGTTTTCAAGGAGGAAAAGAAAGAAACAGGTAAGATTTTGTTTGCTTTGCCTTTATATTTTACTTTTCTTTTTAATAATTAAAAGGTGTTTTCCAAATATATCAAGCCAGACCTACCACCAGAAAAGCACTCAGCACTTCCCCTGCGCACACAGCCTCGTCTCAGCTGTCCGTCCTCATGTTTTATCTTGAAACTGGCTTACAGGCATATCTGTGAAAAGTAATGAAAACAGTCATCAGACCGAGTCATGTGACACGAAATTAGCTCAGTGAAGCTGCTGTAGATACATATTCATTTGGATTATTTGTACACAGTGTTAAATGAGTGATCATCTTCCTGTCAGCTGATTATTGATGTGCAGCTGCATCTAACCTGGCTAGAAAGGAACATTGATAGTGAGTCAAAATGTCCTCTCCATTAAAGGCAGCTCTTTGTGGAATAGCCTCCCAACTCAGATACAGGATTGTCCCACTCTCAATAGTTTCAAAGGCCAACTTAAAGAATGGATGAGAAACAAACAGACGTGTAATCACCGCTAACTGCACTTTAACACAGGGGTATCTCCTCTTGCACTTTAGGTAGCTCTTGTATCATCTCTTGCACTTAATATGTCCTAGCTGCTACATTGTGCTGCCATGTGGTAAATGCTTGTGTGCTGCTCTTGCTCTTTTTGCACTTTTTGCATATCATGTATTTGTTTTTGCTATGTGTATAATTGTCATGTTCTTAAATGTTTTATGTGAGGGACTGCGGATGGAAATTAGCTCCAAGCTAAAATCCGGCATATTTCCACTATTTGCATTTTTTCGTTTTAAGTGTTCATTAATGTGCATTGTCCCTGCTAAATAAACGATTAAATGAAATGAAATTAGTCAGACTGAGGCCCCCCAGGAGCCTGACTTATGGCGCATTTCCACTACAGCGCGGTTTAAGCGTTTGGTTGCGTTTCCACTTAGCGTAGTACCGGCTAGCGAGTACTATTTCACAGTTTTTCTGGCCCCATAAAATCGAGGTTCTTTCCGGGCCAACAACCAGGCTGAGTCGGGCTAAGTATGCTAAACTAGAGAGAGAATCGCTGGCATGGGGGCTACAACTACAACAAGATGAACATATTTTACCTGATTTAATTGTAATACACGCTTCAAAATGATGCCGAAGTAACAACATACTGATACCGGTTAGTAAAAACCATGAATTAATGCTTTGACAAGTCTGCAGACAGACGGCAGGTGAAAAACCTTTTAAAATGCGTGTGTTCTAAATGGAGATTGGCTAAGCTAACGCAGTATATGCTCCGACCGTCCACACTCACAACAACGGCCTATACAGACATAAATAAACCAGCGACTGTATTCACCATGACACAGGCAGTCTGTGGTTTGTACTTGTTTAACTTTTGTCTAGTTTCTGAACAGATATGAGGAGCTGTGAGCTCTGAGTGCTAACAGCTAACGACTGTGTTGTTTTTCTGGGGTTCTCATTGAAGATGACGTCACGGCTCCGCCTACACTGCGTTACTATAGATACTACCCCAGTTCATAAACTGTAATGGAAATGCGCCATAAAGTGAGCCAGTCCTAACGAGGCCTAGCCATACCGAGCGAGGCCGAGCGAGGCCGTGTAGTGGAAACGCGCCATTTGTTGCTTCAGTATAAGCTTAAGATAGACCTTTATTGATCCCGCAAGGGAAATTCAGTTTTCCCGCCGTTTTTTTTATTTGTACAGATACAACACACACAGTCATATGCACGCATACACATGTATTTTGAGAGGCTCCAGGTAGGGTGACCAGGTGCCAACAAGCCACATGTGGGACAAATAGGACGTTTTTGCGGGACAATGCAGGGCATGTTACTGCGTTGCTAAGAGCTAGATTAGATGTTTATAGAATGTCTATCTAACCTTTATTAAGAATAAACATTTCTATGAAACTATAAGCTTATAAATATTAATAACAATGCCACAAACTATGCAAGTGAAGGAATTAAATATATTTGTTTGTAACAAATTATTATGACCAGAAAAAAATGACCGGATCTAGTTTACTGCCACAGTCTGCAGACCTGTGCATCCGAGTGCTAAACGTTTATTAAATCAGATGCTGTTACCTAATCTCTTTTGGTTTCAGGAGGAATATATCCATAGATCGAGAGGGGGGGGGGGGGGGGGCGTGGTAGAGCAGGATCGTGACTGTTAGCGCCGGAGCCTCGCTGCGGGGAAACTGTGGCGCGCATAAGATGCAGCCCCACACCATAGACTGTATATATAAAGCCCCACACACTCTTCGTGTTCTGCGTGTAGGGAGGGGCGGCCCTGCCCATAAGTTAATACATGTATCTGTTGCAGTGGCAAGCCGTGGCCTAAGATATTCTAAAAAATAATATTTTAAAACCTTTGCAAAAAAAACATTTTTTTTTTAAATATTTTTTTAGTTATATTTTTCATTAGTTTTATCAAAATAACTTGATTTAATTGTATTTAAAATAACATTTCCAAAGAAATAAATCCTTCGAATCTGCCTGTTCAGTTTCTGTTGGAATGTGAAGGGTTAAATGCCGTCTCTGCGAGTTACTGTGAAGACGGGAGAGCTTGTTGGTCCCTCTGTACATTCACAGAGGGCCAGCTATAGTAACTCAACGAGAGAGTAATGTCAAATGACAGTACAATTGACCAATCATATCTTCCCTCTAAATGGGTGGGCTTTATTTTCGCTGACTTTATGACAATTTCCGCCCGCTGTGAAGTTTATGCATGTGTATAAAGTGGTGCAGTGACGCGTCCTAAAACCCGGAAGTAAGCTGCGCTCGGGTTCCCTCGACACAAAAGCAATGGGATTTCTCCATAGGGTTTTGGAAAATAGCTGGAAATAAGGTCTGTGGAAAACGAACCTGATAGATAAATGCACGTTTTGTTCAACCGGATAATATCCACATGTCTACCTTACTTTTATAATTTTCGAATCCTAAATCTAATCAATAGATTTATGATCGATAGATTTATGATTAGCATAAGTTCGTTCATGATGGCTCATTTCAGTGATAGTGATGACATCGTTGCGTTTGGCACCCCGGGCCGCTGTTTTGATATTCCGCTGAAGTATACGCTGAGTGTGTGTGTGTGCGAGTATGTGTGTCCTCACAGAGTTCTCGTCTGTTGTCAGGCTCTAAGGAGGAATCGGAGGACCAGTCCAAGCTCATAGTGGGGGGGGTGGCAGGGCTCCTCATAGCTGCTGCTGTGGTGGGACTCGTCTACTGGCTCTACATGAAGAACTCCAGGTAGAGAAACACACACACATGTACAACCACAAAGTGTTTCTCCGTGTGAGTCCCGAAGACAAATCCAGGTCTGGAGATGGTCAGAAGGTGATTCTGTGGCAGAGGTTCTTCTGCTTCACACTTCTGTTATTCTGTACTCAGACAAGGAAGCTGGAAAACTGGTGAGAAGGAGGTGGGAACATCAGAGGAGGGCAAGAAGCTGGAGGAGAACCATCCCACGGTTTGAACTGCAGGGCTGAGAGGTGAGAACACTTTCAGTGTCCATGTAACAGTGAGTCTAATGAGCTACATGTGAAATTAAAAGTAAAGTATCATTTCACTTATCATTCACTATTCAGTATCTTTTTTTAGGTCTAGCCATCATTCATTTAAGTACTCAGTACGCAGATACTCCAAAGAAATACAACTGTATAATCAAACTTATTGGGAATAGAAAACAAAGGTTTATGATAAAGTCATTTCCTCTGTTATTGTCAATATGTAAGGTGCACTTGTTATCCAAAGGGTCAGAAGCACAATGCTTTGTGGACGCATGAAAACAGATTCATGAAGCTCTTGCCTGGTTCTGTATTATATATTACATTTCAATTATTGTTAAAGTGGGCTCAGAGATTACTTTAGTGAGCACAAGGTTCCGTAATTAATAAGACTGATGACCAAACCTTATACAATTTAGATCTATGATTTATTAACTAATAATCATCCTTTAGAATGCGAATGTAAAAGTGTTTTTTTCTGGACATTATAAACTTTAGGCTACATGATTGAAATGATAATGATGCCTTCATTCCTCTGTGTGTGGGGCAGAAGCAGTTGAAGCAGCTGTTCAACAGTAAGGACCAGACTCCCCCCCCCCCCCCACTGTTCCTGTGTGCACTGAAGCTGCTCAGTTACTGTTCTGTAGTGTTCCTGGTGAATGCTCCATGTGCTGTGATGGTTTCTTTTGCTCAGTTCTTCCTTCAGGAATTTTTTTTTTTTTTTTTTTAAATCCCTCAAAGAATGTAAAAACTCAAATTTTGAATATTATATATATATATATATATATATCCTTGTCTGAGCATGCCAATGTTTTTTCCTAGTTTTGACTTGTGTGTGCGCTGTGTGTAAACTCACTTTACTGCCCTCAGACTTAAGGAACAGCTCTGCTCCTCAAACTATGGCACATGAATCGTCTGTCCTTTACAGAACACGTCCTAGTTAAAGTCAGGATATTACATCGGATGTACTATGAATGCTTCATATTTGTGAAGATTCAAATTGGACATAAAACAATTGAGCATTATGACACACTCATTTCTTCTTTTTGGTGAATTACAGTACCCCCCCTCCACATTTTGAAGTCTCAAGATACATTTAGAATTACGTTCTGTTGCAAATACTTTGAAAAGGCAGAAGTCCTCACACTTCATATTGCTTTATGTTTGTCCAGTCTTTTGTTTTAAGGTTCATGCTAATTATTTTATTTTTATTTAGCCTTTATTTATACAGGTGTAAAATCTCATTGAGACACAAGGTCTCATTTTCAAGAGAGACCTGTTCAGTGGTAACACTACCACACAAAGTTACAGACAGACAGGACACTAAACACAGAGGCAACACTAAAATACAACATCGTAAAAAAGTAGTAATTGAAATCCACACAGTATTCAGATATAGCAGGTGCAAACACCCACAGATGATTTCTCCAGCTTTTTTAAAATTAGTTTAAAATCTGTGATGGGTATCAAACTGGTCAGTTTAAGTTCCTGCTGAAGTGTGTTCCAGGTCGAGGGGGCAGAATATGATATGGCTTTTTTCCCAAGCTCCGTACATACTGAGGGGACGGACAGAGTGATGTCATTTTGAGATCGTAGGCTATAGCTGTACTGTTTGTGTGATATGTAAGTGGATATGTAGAGGGGCAGCAGTCCAAGCATAGCGGTAATGGCTTTGTTCCTCTGTGGCTGACTTTAAAACACTGTCTCTGTGTCTCTTCAGCTCCTTAACACCGTTTCTCTTCTCTTTGCTTTGTGCCAGGTCAGAATCTGTTTTAGTGTTTTTTTGTATTTATATTCTGTGTGCAACCTTTCCTGGTTACTGCAGCTTCAAAGAAAACATGTTAAGCCTGCGTGAAGGCCTCATCAAGTGTTGAAGCGGTACTGAATATGGTTATACAGCATCTGTGCTCATTCTCTGCTGTATCATTATTACTGTTGATAATATTGCTGTGTCATGTTTATCTCTGTGGTGTGAGAGACAACTGCAGACTGTGGTGTGAGAGACAACTGGAGACTGTGGTGTGAGAGACAACTGGAGACTGTGGTGAGAGACAACTGGAGACTGTGGTGTGAGAGACAACTGGAGACTGTGGTGTGAGAGACAACTGGAGACTGTGGTGTGAGAGACAACTGCAGACTGTGGTGTGAGAGACAACTGGAGACTGTGGTGTGAGAGACAACTGCAGACTGTGGTGTGAGAGACAACTGGAGACTGTGGTGTGAGAGACAACTGGAGACTGTGGTGTGAGAGACAACTGGAGACTGTGGTGTGTGAGAGACAACTGGAGACTGTGGTGTGAGAGACAACTGGAGACTGTGGTGTGAGAGACAACTGGAGACTGTGGTGGAGAGACAATTGGAGACTGTGTTGAGAGACAATTGGAGACTGTGTGTGAGAGACAACTGGAGACTGTGGTGTGAGAGACAACTGGAGACTGTGGTGTGAGAGACAACTGGAGACTGTGGTGTGAGAGACAACTGGAGACTGTGGTGTGAGAGACAACTGGAGACTGTGGTGTGAGAGACAACTGGAGACTGTGGTGTGAGAGACAATTGGAGACTGTGGTGTGAGAGACAATTGGAGACTGGTGTGAGAGACAACTGGAGACTGTGGTGTGAGAGACAACTGGAGACTGTGGTGTGAGAGACAACTGGAGACTGTGGTGTGAGAGACAACTGGAGACTGTGGTGTGAGAGACAACTGGAGACTGTTGTGTGAGAGACAACTGGAGACTGTTGTGTGAGAGACAACTGGAGACTGGTGTGAGAGACAACTGGAGACTGTGGTGGAGATTGTCAGACTAGATGAGGTAGTATTCTGGGTTTACATCATTTTGCTATGGTACATCCCACAATGCAACACCCCAGTGTGCTGCCAGGGACAAAGGGTTGATAACAGAAATGTTAAACTTTGTTGACACTTATAGTTCAATTCTTAGTTGCTTAGCTAATGAATACATAAACATATGTGTGATTTAAATTGGTCTGACAAAAGAAGCCTTCACTTTTTCATTTGTTCATATTTCTCGTGTGAGTGGATATGTTTGAATCAACATATTGAACAGTGTTTTCAGACTGCATTTTCAGCACCTGGCAAGAAAGTACCGGTATTTCAAAGGACCAGGGTCCAGGATGAGGGACATCTAGTGATCAGGGTGCAGATCGCAGCTGAATCCCCTTTCACCCCCCCTCCCTTAAACTAGACATGTGACGTTTTTTTTCTTTTTCGTTCAGGGCTTCTGTAGAAACGTGCGCTATAACATGGTGGATTCTGTGGAACCCGATAAGTGGGGCTCATTCTAACACAACCAGGCTTATTGTACACCAATAAAAGCCAAGGTATGAAAATGCTTCTCCATACATCACACACACAGTTCTGAAGAGCTGATTGCCTGATCATCAAACACTTGATGTTGGAAGGAACCATGCTCCGATCGATTTGATTGAAATGTCTCGTTGCCAGTTTTCCAATCTGAAGCAAAGAGATGACATTCCATTCTCTTTTTAACATTATGTCAACATTACCAATTTCCCAACACCTTCAAAATGGGCAGCGTAAAGATGCTTTGGGATGGTTGCCTGGCAAAATGAAAGCAGTAGATAAACACCCTCTATTTTCATGCTTTTTTATGCTTTTCAAATAATCAGGTCAGCAGTGAAACCAAAGATGGACCGATCAGGAGGCCATAGTAGAGTTGTAAATACAGACTTTTGTTTTTGTACTGTTGTTGACAATAAAGTGTACATTTTGAAACAGAATGCATGTCGTCACGTGTATGTGATTCTTTGTAAGTCCATATTTACAGTATATGTATGGCAGTGAGCTGCATCTCATCTTTTTAATGAGATATTTAATTTGCATAGAAAAGGATTCATCCTGTCACGTTTGTAATGCCAATGGTAATCCAGTATTACACATCACCGGGTCCATGGTGAGTGAGGAGAACGTTTGGACTTCCCTTCACTCAGACATCTAACTGCCATGACTCCCCTGAACAGGTTTGACAACTGAAAACGTCAAGGAAAACCGATCCCAACATACTGTCCAAGGCATTTGCATAAGTTTATAGCGTGTTGTGGAATAAATCCTATAAATGATGCTCTGATCAAACAAAACAAGCCAAGGTGCCAACATATCTAACCCATTTTTAGCAGTGGTAGTATGTTAGCGGTAGATTATATTAAACTATAAACCTATAAAACTATTGACCAACATGTACATTGTAATCCTACTAGTAATCCCCAGTTTTTATAAATGTAAGAAATCTGATGATGTCTTTTATGAATGAACTGTAAGGGAATACACCTTGTTCTGTATCCTGATGATGTCATGCTGTCACATGAATGACTCCCCAAGCCTGGATATAGTCTGATTGGAAGACAGCAGTCAGCTCCCTGAGCGAGTTTGGAGGTGTCATGTGTTCTGTGTTTTGAACAAATATCCATCAAACTCTAAAATAAAAAAAATAAAGTCTGAATCCTTACTACAATCTGCTTTATTAAAACAAAGTAAAAAAGTGATCTATTAAAACAAAGTAATAAACACAGTGCAAGAATGAACCCTGGAGGGAAAGGGGAATGCCACTGAATATGTATGTGAATGTGTGTTGGGGACACCCTCAGTCCAACCTGCAGCATTAACAATGTTTCTGCTTCAGTGCAAGCAGCACTGTTCATTGTGGGACTTCATTCTTAAACGTCCTCATTGTGGGACTTCATTCTTAAACGTCCTCATTGTGGGACTTCATTCTTAAACGTCCTCATTGTGGGACTTCATTCTTAAACGTCCTCATTGTGGGACTTCATTCTTAAACGTCCTCATTGTGGGACTTCATTCTTAAACGTCCTCATTGTGGGACTTCATTCTTAAACGTCCTCATTGCATACAAATGCTCACCAGTCATTCTCTATGCACTGTTTTAGGCCCATATCATATCCTGTGGATATTTGAATGTGTAGTGGTGTTCCCCTTTATGGTGCGGATCAAAAAGGATGAGTACAGATGGCATTGGGACAGAAACATCCTCCCTATGGAAAGACGGGGACGGTGGATGTCTGTGTTCTCTTACATTGACAAGATGGCTATTATAATAAATGAAAAAAATAAATACAGGTTTCCCGCCTTTTCAATTGCTTACTTTAATAGCACATTCACTGACGGGTCTTTTATTTCAATTTGCATATTTATATTCACAGTGATGAGCACAGACAGCCATACTCACTGTGATTATATTCACACTGTACTCTTTGTTAATCTGGTGGTTAAGGTAACACACTTATCAACTCACATAACGTTTAAAATCTGGGTTAAGATCATGAGACACCTGTGAAGATTGTGGACTCAGGTTTGGTTTCACATTCTCACATCAGGACAGATGTGATGTAAAGCAGTCAGTGAGCAGTACCACTGGAACTGGGCCAATGTGGGCAGGAGCAGAAACACTGCGCCTCTCCCAGGAGACTGAGTTCAGTTATCATTTTAGAGAAACTACAAAACATCATCTCAAGTTCATTTGACAGCCAACACAGCTGAAGAAAAATGAGGGGTGGAAATGAATAAATACTAATCATCGCTGTGTTTATTGGGCCTCCTCCCTGGGTAACTCGCAGTAAGGGGACGGGCTCTTGTTTGTTCAGAAACACACAGCCCAGCCTGATGCATCATGCCTGTCAGTGGTAGAGTTACTACATTCTGATCCACATTGGTGAGGATGTCTCCGTTAGAACCGTGTCCTACTGACTCAGAATGTATCCACCCTCTGGTGAGTATGTCTGTTGGCCCCATGTTTCCCTGACAGGACATCAGGTTGTTAAAGTAGCTTTGCTGTAATCTAGCTGTTCAGTGAGGGAGTCAGCACTGTTATACTGTGTAAGCAAATACTACCAAGAGTCATCAGTCAACATATTTCAAAATCTGCATGTAGCAATTTTAACATCATACCCTGCAAAGTGCTGAGATCTGGAAACCCATCAACCCTGCTTCAAAAACATCAGACTAAAGAGAAACAGGACCATTTGTATGACATGAGAGAAAACACTACATTGTCCTCATGTACATACATGTAACAATATCAATGTGTTGCGCATTCCAGAACTCAACATTTCATTTGGTGAATACAATGTTAGCACAACCAAAGGTCAAAACAATAACATAAAGTTCCAAATGATAAACGGGAGTTATCTTTTCTTGGTCTGAAATGAACAGCTGGGTAAACAGAGCCGCTTTATGGACAATATCTACCAACATCTCACATCCTATTCTCAACAGGAAGCAACAATAATATGTTTTTTGCATTTGAAGACATTTTGGATATTCGTGAGGCATATTGTAGTCATTAGGGAGACAAGAGGGCATTGGACTGACTACACGGTGAAGGTGCATACCGTTTGAGGGCGCTGCAGTATTCTCTTCCTCTATACTGTGTTCACACTTCAACACCACATCAGAAGATATCAAGTGACTTGAACTACATCAGACGCCTGAGCATGCAGGGAACCTTTGCCCTGTTCAGGCTGATGTGTGACTGACTCTTTGAGCTGATCCTCTCATGTAAATGCTTCAGCTACAATCTAGGCACAGTAGTCTTAGCTTTTGTCCCAGAGCAATTTAAAGAAAAGCAAGCATTAGACATTTCCCACCCTCTAATCACTTGGCAATGGGCCTGAGAGGAGCTCACTTACAGAACAATGCATTCATAGGCTCACTGAAGTAGTGAAATCCCCTGGTCTAGGAACAGAATAAAAGCATAACTGAGCAACCTTCTTCTTCCCCGGCTTCTGGTCCAAATAACTAACACGAGTGCTCTATTAGTTGTTGTACAGTTTGATCCAGATCTAGGTGGATCCAGGGAATCAGTAAGGCCACCTCTAGCTCCACAGAACTGCTCCTGACTCGCCAGCTGGTTTAAGGACTACAAGTCAGCCAGACCCAGGGGAAACACAAGACATGAAGAGAGGAGAGAACAAGAGAGAGAGAGAAATGGTGGACTCTGGCTCCCCCTACTGGTTATACATTAAATTGTCTGTGCATGTACTGCACGTGCTGTAAGCTTAACAGAGCGGGGGTGTCCTTTTGAAAGGCCCCACAAACTAAATGTAGAGGGTGGAAGGTGTCATAGGAAGAGCAGCAGCAGGACCAGGGCTTAAACCAGGCACAGAGTCCAGCCTGGAGACTAACAGGAGCCTCTGAACCAGAGTCCAGCCTGGAGACTAACAGGAGCCTCTGAACCAGAGTCCAGCCTGGAGACTAACAGGAGCCTCTGAACCAGAGTCCAGCCTGGAGACTAACAGGAGCCTCTGAACCAGAGTCCAGCCTGGAGACTAACAGGAGCCTCTGAACCAGAGTCCAGCCTGGAGACTAATACCCCATTCACACCAACGGTGTTTCAGGGCCGGTTCGGTGCTGGTGCTTGAAAAGCACCGGGTTTTCCTGTTCACACCGCAGCGGAGCAGCCTCTAAGCTCCGGAATCCGGTTCGTTTCGAGCACCAAAAAGTTGTCCGTCTAGAAGCAAGAACCGCATACGTCACGCTTACGTCGGAGGGGGGCGAGATTAACCTGAGCTAACAGTTAAAGGCGAGTACGGCAAATAAAAGTTGTAACAAGCAGTAGTGCTGAGCAAAGTGACTAGAACGCAACCACACACTTGTTAAAAAAAAACACACTTTATAAAGTCAGGCAACACTAACCAGGCTTCGTGTGATTCTGTTTATTTGTACCTTACTTTGACCATCCGTTCTCTGTTATTGATCATTGTGGAGAGCAGGCAGACGTTTTGTTTGTTATTATAGCAGCTATCGGATGGAATCAATACATGGGCTGCACAGGTTGTCATGTCCGACTATCACAAGTAGAATCATAATGAAAAATACGCCGGTAAAAAGTGCCTGGAGAAAACGGCTTAGCAAGTAGTCAGTTTAGCTTCGGTTGCTATGCCAACATCACCCATTTTATACCAGAGAAACTTTCATAACAGCATTGTGATGCCAAACAGCGTCAATTCAGACTGACACACATTCACTTAAGGGGAACTGGGGATATGTATCAGCTGCTTGTGTGACAGTCAGACAGTGAATACTTTAGAGCCGTGTGAGCTAACCCGGAGCTAACGGGAGAATAAACTCCCGTGGAAGAGCAGCCAGCACTGCAGCGGTCGGTAAATGCCGCTGAAACACATTAATAAACAATGAACCACGACACTCTGGAGAAAAGTATAAGGTTGGAGAAGTCGTTATTTAATTTAATCTGGCTTCGTATGATTAAAAGCAACACGATCATCGACCCAACGCAGTCCCCCGTTGTTGTTGTTGTGAGCTCCGTTGGGGAGAAAATCAGCGACGTAAACTGTGACGTCATGACGCAGCAGCGGCAGCACCAGTCGGGCTCTGAGCGGTGTGAAAAGAGCCGGAGCTAAACCGAAGTACCGGTTCTGAACCTGAAAAGCTCTAGCACGGAGCTTGAACCGGAGTTGCGTTGGTGTGAAAGGGGTATAACAGGAGCCTCTGAACCAGAGTCCAGCCTGGAGACTAACAGGAGCCTCTGAACCAGAGTCCAGCCTGGAGACTAACAGGAGCCTCTGAACCAGATCCACATGTCGCTGGCTCATCAGCCTGCTTCCTTTTCTTTCACAGGTAAAGCATTCACAAACGGTCTAATCTCCCTTTTTCATTCTCTGTGTTCTACTGTGATTTGGTTTAGGCCACTTTGTTTCGAGGGATCTCTCTGTTTGGCAACAAAAGGCATGTCTCTCCTCAGTCTGTTTCTGCGCAGAATAAAAAAGCCCACTCCTGTCAGTCCGTCCCCTGTTTGGGGCTAGAGGTTCAGTCTTGGGGGCACCAAGGCGAACTCTCGCAGAATGTTTCGGGCCACGTCCACTTTGTACTGAGCAATCGTCAGCGCCCGCTTCACATCCTCAAAGGAGTAACCCTCTCCCATCAGCTTGGCAATTTTGGCATCGACGTTCTCTGACTCCAAGCTGGGGGGTTTGCCTGGCTGAATGCATGGATGGATGTTCCTGGGCAGGGGCTTGGGGGGCCTGGCAGGGGCCTGCAAACAGTCCAGCAGTACTTGGAGAGAGAGAGAGAGAGAGAAATCATGTCATCGGAAACACAGGCAGAAACCTGAGAGTGTTGTAAGTGGTAAAGGACAAGTTTATAGTTGGGTAGTAGAGGAGAGGACATCTCCAGAACCTTCTGAGTACAGACCTTTAATATGAAGTCATCAATGTGCTGCATGGCTAGAAAGCAGATATTGAGCTTTTCACTGCACCCATGTCCCGGCACTGTGTTCCTCACAGTGCCGGGACATGGGAAAAACAGGGGACATTTTGGAAAATAAAAGTACTGAAACACAATGAACGGATTTTGAAGTAAAAGTTAGGACAAACTTTGCATGTCTCAACAAATCAGACTTCCTTCATGTATCGATGAGACTTTAAGAGAGCTTACTTTGCTACCAAAAAGTATTTCTACCTTGAATTGCACAATTTCACTTTCAAACACTCATACTTCCAGAACTTTAATCCTTGACATCCAAGGTTTGATGTGATTTTGGAATATGGAAAAGAATAAGTTCGATTTTGCTTTTGTGAAAGTGAACTCATCAAGACGTGGGCATGTGATTTTGAAGCTGTGTGTGTGCATTTCCTCATGTGGTCATGTGCTGAGAGGTAACTACCCTGAGTGCCGGGCAGATGGTCGTACTCCAGGAAGCCTCTGGAGCCTGTCACATGATCTGTGTGTCGTCTGAGGGGGGGCAGAGGAGCAGCACTGCTCAACATGTCCAACACTGTGTCTACAACACACACCACACAGAGACACTCAGGTAAACACACCTGTTTATAACTGGAAGTTATGCTGTGTGAAAAATGTAGGATTAGCATAACACACACGGACATGCGCCAGATTGTTATTTTACACATCTTAAATCAGAATGAACCGTCACGAGTTTTCCAGCTCACCGGGGGTTAGTAGCAGGTGATCATGTCCAGAGTAGGGCCGGGGGGGTTGTGCTACAGCAGAGGGGGCGGAGGTGGAGAAGTTGTAGAATGAGGATGTCGAGGATGGGAGGTCGGTGAAGCTATGTCGGGCTGGTGGAGGAGGGGGGGGCTGGGATGGAGGGCGGCTGTTGAAGGGGTCTTCTAATGCTGAAACACAAGCAAACACAGAGAGGAATAAAGTCTCTCAGAGAGGATGTGCTTCAGGTTCACAGAGACAAGAGAGTGCTGTGGGTGAACAACACCCAGAGGTGATGCTGACATCAAACATACAATTATATGCCAATAATGAGTAAACAGGCAACTGTTTTATAAACTAAATGTTTGGGTTTGTTTACAGCATTACAGTAAGAATGTACTGTATATCCATTCCAACTCCAACAGGGCGAGGTTGCAGCTGAAGTGATGATCTGGCAGCGGAACAGATGGAAAAGTAGATTCCATCATTCCATGGAAAATTAAATGAAATGAAATGTGCACGGCCTAGGAGTTGACTACCAGTGAACCTCAATATCGGTCAAAAATGCCATCACTTCATCATTTTCTCTTATTAGACATTTGTGTAAAATCGCATGATAAGCAAGTACATTTTTGTGTTGTGTCCAAAAACATGTTCTTTGAGGTCACAGTTACTTTTGACCCCAAAATCTAATCAGTTCATCTTTGTGTCCAAGTGGACCTTACTGCCATATGGGAAGTAATTCCTTCAAGGCATTCCTGAGATATGACGTTCACCACGCAGAATCATTGGAGGAGCTCAATAGGTCATGTGACACTGGGGATTGTTACGTAACAAGAGTGACATTTTCCAGTTGGACAGGTGTAACAAAACACAGGGTGCTCAGACAGGACTGAGAAAGGGCACTTTGGCTGGGGGAGGGCAGTTGGGGTTGGCTACCTTGTGGGGGCAGCAGGATGTCATAGTCGGAGGGTGTCTTATTGGTGTTTAAGGGACAGAGGGCACGATGGGCAACCCGTGAGACCCCCTGCCTGACCAACTCAGAGGGTCCACCTGAGGAAGAGAAGCAGAGAACATGCTTTAAGTTTCACATGGTGGTTATGCACTGGCACATACATACACTTTGGACAGATGAACTCTAAGCATTGTTTTCGTCCTGCCTATTGCAAAGCCTCTTGAAGATGCCAATGACCCCAGAGTAACTGAGCGGTGCAGTGATGATGTCTTTTTGGAGGCCGGCTCAGAAGTTAGCACCACAAGGGCTCCCTCGACTATAAGCAATGGTATTTTTCAAAGTGATTTTGGAATATTGCAAGAGAAAAGAATCTCTGTGTCAAACACACGTTTATGATACTCATCAATTCTGTTTAGCAAAATAACCTCCACATATTAACACCGCTTTAAGGTTGTTGACGTGTAAATGCAATCGCCAGATGTAAAGAGCTAACAAGGCTATAAACAAACGACATCACGGTCTCATGACAGCACGCCTCCACTGCTATGATATAAACAAGTCTCTTTTAGTCCAACCACTGTTGCTAAAACACATTGAAGATGAAGACATTCCCCAGTGGGTAGAAATCTCTTCAGCGTGTGTTAACCACATATTATATTTCAGGCATCTAACCACAAACAAGTTACAAAAATGGTTGACTTCCAGATAAGAGGACCGGAATTGCTAAAATGTGCACTTCCAGGTTTCAGGACTCATCCTGCACCGCGCTTTAGGGCTTCAGAGAATAGATGTATTAGTTGTTAAACAGTGTATGCAGGACTCACCAGGATCAGGGGGCTGGAGCTTTTTCTCCTCCATACTGGGCTCTAAAGAGCTGCTCTCAAAGGGCCTGAAGAGAGGGGACAGCATCCTAGTTCACCTCAATACAACCATTATTACCTTATCACCATAGAAACGTTGATACAGAAACATAGGGGGGTACCTGCTGGGTACAGAGATGCAGATGGGGGCCTGGCTCAGACAGAGGTTGGATGAAGGGATCTGATAGTTGTCTTCCATTTTCTCCACCACAGGGCTGCTGAACGCATTGGAGGGTCTGTAGAGATGACTCAGATTTATCACACAGCCTTTTCAATAGTGTCCCTCTTTTAGTTATTACATTCAAATGGCAATCACTAATGTCATCCCACAGGAGTAGTAGGATGGGGGATTTCACATAACATAGACACAAGGTGACCGGTGCCCTGTCCAACACATTAGTGTAACATGTATTCTGTAGTCATCCAGACAGATCCACTGGCATCAGATGTGGTGTTAGTAACTGCAATTTAATTCATCAGTTTTGTTTAATTGTTCAATCTTAAAGTCCTTCAGCCGTCACTCCTGCCAGTGTGCCGCGGCTAGTGACCAGCAGGAAACACTTTCTGATTACTGCAGCTGCCCTTTAATGTGTTCTCTGTATCTTTATTATTGTATCAACTGTATATATTGTGATCAATTCTGTGTAGTGTTGTTTTATTGCAATAGTTGTACCTTTGTTTTAATGTCTTATGCCTTCTCTTGCTGCCTCTTGGCCAAGTTGTCATGGTAAATGAGAATTGTTTCTCACTTCACTTATGTGGTTAAATAAAGGTTAAAAAAATAGTAAATTAACATAAGTAAAATTGACATTACTTGCATTGTAAATTGTATTGTTAAAACCCTTTTGGGGTTTTTGTTTTCCATTTGTACACTATTTTACAATGAGAGTAAAATAGATAAATAGATTAAACCAGTTTAATCTGCAAATTGGGTTCATTTTTCATTTAAATTAAATATGAATGTACACAGCAACTGATGACCTCAATTTATCCTGAGGGACTAACAGTTCACTGACATGATTTTGACAGGCCATTATGGTGGACATGAATGGGTGTTGTATTGTGTGTGTAGTTGTGTGAGCTGGTTATACAATTTGACAACCACTCATCTAAATATTGGAAAAGCAGGCATGTGGCTAAAAGGTTTATGTTATAATCTCCTTAAAGTCACTGGGGACATGAGAGAGTGAAAAGCAGCTAACCTCTCTGACTGCTCGGGTAAATAAAGCCATGAAGTGGTTGTGTGGAGTAATCATGACGGATAATAATCAGGTTCTTTAAGAATGGATCAAATGTCCCAACACTGATCAGGGCTTCAGTGGAATTCAGGGTGGTGTGAAACCTGCAGCACCACGTATTAGTGTTCACCTCATGTTACTGTGCTGGAGAGGTACAAAGTGCACTAACTGTTGTGTCTCCTGTCGGTAATGATTGAACAACAGTGAAGGAGCTCTCAGGAACGATGCAGGAACTTATTTGACCTGATGTCCCTCCATAACCTCTGATACATTATAAACATGAGCCAATGAACCAAGCTGTGCAGAGGATAAGGTTATAACTAGGGATGCTCCGATCGCCAATTTTGGGGCCGATCGCCGGAATCAGTATCGGCCGATACCGATCGAGTGGGCGGGGCCTAAATGGAAGATTTAAACATCACTTTAAATCTTCCATTTAAAGTGATGTTTAAAACTCAGTTCATGGGGCTCATTCACTGGAGCTTCCACAAACAACAATCAACTTAATTATTACATTCAAATGATGTACATTATTCAAGTTTATATTCACTTTGGATAATACCACGGGAGAAATTAGCAAGCGCTCTCTTTTCCTCTCTCCCTCCCCCCCCCCTCTCCTGACAGCCTGTCAGTATCTCCTGCAGCTCACTGATCCAGTAATGAGTGACCCGACAGTGAAGAATAAATATATTTATAACTAGTTTAGCTTGTTCCAGAGGTAGATAAAATAGCTAAGTGTGTTAGGTCTAACTCTTGTGTGTTTCGCTCCGCTCACCGGTCCGTCACAGCGGGCGGAGCTGCAGGATTTCTGCTTCACACACACGTTGCATACCGCTATTTTACTGTCTTTTTCGGACACCTTAAAATAATGCCAGACCGGTGAAGCCATTTTGGCGAGCTTGTTTTGCCGCGTACAGAGAAAAGTGTCATGTATTTTACGTCATGCGATCGGCTCTCGCGATCGGCATGTTTAGAGAGCACCGATCGATCGGTAGAGAGTGAGTATCGGCCGATCTCGATCGGTGACCGATCGATCGGAGCATCCCTAGTTATTACCAAACCATCAGCTTGAGCTTCAGGTGAGGGCTTTTGGGGATAAAAGCAGTATATATATATATATATATACAGTACCAGTCAAAAGTTTGGACACACCTTCTCATTCAATGGTTTTTGTTTATTTTAATGTTGTTCTACTTTGTAAATTAATACTGAAGACATCAAAACTATGAAAGAACACATATGGAATGATCTAGTTAACAAAAAAGTGTATGAGAATATAATTTTTATTTGAGATTCTTCTTAGTAGCCCCCTTTTGCCTTGATGACAGCTTTCCACACTTCTCTCATTCAGCTTCATGAGGTCGTCACCTGGAATGGTTTTCAAATAACACGTGTGCCTTGTCAAGAGTCAATTTGTGGAATGTCTTGCCTTCTTCATGTGTTTGAGGCCATCAGTTGTGTTGTGCAGAGGTAGAGTTAGTGCACAGTGGAAAGCCCTATTTGAATACTGTTGTAATCCATATTATGGCAAGAACCAACTCAGTGAAGAGAAACGACCGTCCATCATCACTTTAAGAAATGAAGGCCAGTCGATCCGGAAAATGTCAAGAACTTTGAATGTATCCTGAAGTGCAGTCGCAAAAACCATTGAACGCTATGATGAAACTGGCTCTCATGAGGGAAAGGAAGACCAAGAGACACCTCTGCTGCAGAGGATAAATACATCAGTTACCAGCCTCAGAAACCACAAATGAAAGCACCTCAGATTAGAGCCCACATAAATGATCAGAGCTCAAGTAGCAGACAATCTCAACATCCACTGTTCAGAGGAGACTGCGTGAATCAGGACTTCATGGTCCAATCGCTGCAAAGATCCACTACTGAGGATGAACAACAAGAAGAAGAGAATTGTTTGGGCCGAGAAACACAAGGATTGGACATTAGACAGTGGAAATCTGTACTTTGGTCTGATTAGTCCAAATTTGAGATTTTTGGTTCAAACCTGTGTGTCTTTGTGAGACGCAGAGAAGGTGAGCGGATGGTTTCTGCATATTATCATTATATATAATGAGTCTGCAAACTTATCTAGTATCCTATCCATATGAACCTGTTTATTTGTGGGGGGACCTCACCTCCTCTAGGGGGGTCCGGGGGCATGGTCCCCCGGGAAGATTTTTTTCTTTAAATTGAAGTTAAATGCATCAATCTGGTGCACTTTGAGAGCAACATTAAGAGATTTATGGATACAGAACTGTATAATGCTTCAATTAACTGGCTATTCTTTATAATATACTCAGATCAAGAGGAGACAGAGATGTTAAAGAGCAACTTGCAGGTTAGAGACCCCAGTGAATAAATGTGTAGGAAAATGATGTATACACTAGATTTTCCAAAACATATACATAAATATACACTACAGTGACATCTGGCGTCGTTTTTGTAAGACATTTTTACTTCCGCATACAAAAAGCCTCCCCATGTGACCTCCCACGTGTGACGTCACATGGGGGAGAGCGGCCGGTCTAACGTATTAATAAACATGGTTCACAATGCTAGTTTTGACACAGAAGAGGTTGAAAATATATATTCGTATGCATATGATGGACCACAACCTTATAATTATGAGCCTGCTAGGCCTCCAAGAGACCAGGAGCAGCCAAGGATTAGAATAAATAACGGCCATCGGAGAGAAATGGAGCTGTGGTGTGAGGAGAACCAGTGGAGAACAGGGCAGCTGTCTTGGTGAGTGACCGGCGTTAGCTACAGTTAATGTTAGCTAACGTCGGTCACATCACAACATTGTAAAGTTAGCTATCATATATCAGGCTATAACTAAAGTAGTATTGATAATATAGTAACGTTACTGGCAGGACTGCTGATACTGATCCATTACAGAAACTAATGGGCAAGTATCAGCCGTATCTCGCGTTACCTAATGCAACTCCATACTACGTCTTACGGTGCTGTGTACCGGAGGGGAGAGAGAGAGGAGCGAAGGGGGGGAGAGAGAGAGCAGCGAAGGGGGGAGAGAGAGCAGCGAAGGGGGGAGAGAGAGAGGAGCGAAGGGGGGGAGAGAGATGTAATACGGTTTCCTGATAAACGTTTTGTTTGATAGGCCTCAGCTGTGGAGAGTATGTGCTGCAGGGAGGTGGATGCACCTCGCACAACGCACCCAGGAAGGAAAGCTAGCTCCGGTCCTTTTCCTGTTAGGGAAACTGTGGACTCGATGTCCTGACAGGCTGGAGTTCGTGCAACCTGCACAAACACAATAGCTCACCATGATTAAAATGGTGAAATGTAATGTAAAATTACCGAAAAAATACCAGCTCACTAAATCACAACCGCTCAAACCAACTACAAACTACTACCGCGGATTGGGCAGAGAAGGAGTCCGAGAAAGTTGCTCCCCCATGTGACGTAATATGACGCGTTTGACGTATGACGTTAAAAAAAAAGCAGTTTTTAGTAGCAGAGCTCAAAACGGCTCCTTTCCCTCTGAATTCTTGCCCTTATAAAACATATCAAATCCTGCATTAACTTTTTTAATTGTAATTTTCAGGCAAGGTTAAGCATAAATCTAGTAAAAAAAAAAACCTGCAAGTTGCTCTTTAAGTTATAAATCAAGGCTTTTTATTATTATTTACAGGTAGATATTATACACTTTTGACTTTAAGGGCTGCAGTTTTTCCTCTTCTTCTTTGCTTGCGAAAGTGTTTCTACTGCTTTACGTCTGCTTTACTGCTTTACGTCTGCTTTACTGCTTTACGCAACCGATTGCTGCTGCTGCGTCATGATGTCACCGGTGCTTATCAGGCTCTAGCCTGATAAGCACTATCAGGCACCACTGCCCGGCACTCAGGGTAGTTACCTCTCAGCACATGACCACATGAGGAAATGCACACACACAGCTTCAAAATCACATGCCCACGTCTTGATGAGTTCACTTTCACAAAAGCAAAATCGAACTTATTCTTTTCCATATTCCAAAATCACATCAAACCTTGGATGTCAAGGATTATAGTTCTGGAAGTATGAGTGTTTGAAAGTGAAATTGTGCAATTCAAGGTAGAAATACTTTTTGGTAACTTTGAATGTATCCTGAAGTGCAGTCGCAAAAACCATTGAACGCTATGATGAAACTGGCTCTCATGAGGACCCCCCCCCCCCCGGGAAAGGAAGACCAAGAGACACCTCTGCTGCAGAGGATAAATACATCAGTTACCAGCCTCAGAAACCACAAATGAAAGCACCTCAGATTAGAGCCCACATAAATGATCAGAGCTCAAGTAGCAGACAATCTCAACATCCACTGTTCAGAGGAGACTGCGTGAATCAGGACTTCATGGTCCAATCGCTGCAAAGATCCACTACTGAGGATGAACAACAAGAAGAAGAGAATTGTTTGGGCCGAGAAACACAAGGATTGGACATTAGACAGTGGAAATCTGTACTTTGGTCTGATTAGTCCAAATTTGAGATTTTTGGTTCAAACCTCTGTGTCTTTGTGAGACGCAGAGAAGGTGAGCGGATGGTTTCTGCATGTGTGGTTCCCACCGTGAAGCATGGAGGAGGAAGTGTGATGGGGGGGGGGGGCTTTTGCTTTTGTTGGTGATTTATTCAGAATTCAAGGCTCACTTAACCAGCATGGCTACCACAGCATTCTGCAGTAGCCAGCTAAATATAAATCATATTCTGAATTCCATGTGTTCTTTCATAGTTTTGATGTAAACCGGCCCTGGAACCGTGTTGGTGTCAAAGGGGCAGGCTACAATTGGAAAGGTTACGATAATCTGAGCTGTTTAACCAAGGCTGCACAAAAACACCAAAACACAGCAGGGCATCTTAAGGCAACGGTCACCATGAAGACTTTTGGAGACTCAAGGATTGATCTACAGCTGGACGAACAGAGACGTAGAGAAACGATCATGCACAACGAAAAGGTGAACAAAAATCAGGAGATTTTGAAACGTCTGATCCACTGTGTGATTTTCCTTGGGAAACAGGAGTTACCTTTCAGGGGCCATGATGAGAGCAGAGAATCAGCCAATCGAGGTAATTACCTGGAGCTGCTTACATTCATAGCAGAATATGATCCAGACTTGCACTACCATTTGTCCACTTCTAAGGTGTTCATTGGAACCTCGAGTCAGATACAGAACGACTTGATAAGTGCTGTGGCCGAAGTGATGGGTGAGACCATCAAAGAAGAAATAAGTAAAGCACCCTTTGTAGCTTTAATGCTGGATGAAACATCAGATGTCAGCAATGCTGCACAGTTATCGTTTGTTCTTCGGTTTGTAACAGACAGTGGCGTAAAAGAGAGGTTCGTCAGATTTGAGGATGTGACAGGGAAGAAACGGGCAGAGGATGTAGCAGCCATGGCCCTTGGTTTCTTGGAGGAACATGGATGCATGGACAAACTTGTAGCCCAGTGCTATGACGGTGCTGCCGTTATGGCATCGGGGCTGAACGGGGTCCAAGCCAAGGTCAAGGAAAAGATCCCACAGGCACTTTGCATACACTGTTATGCACATGCCCTTCATTTGGTTTTATCTCAAGATGTAGTTATGTAGAATGCAGAATTTTCTTCTCACACCTTTCTGGCCTGGCTGCGTTCTTTTCTAGATCGCCAAAACGAATGCAGCTGCTTGATGAAATATGCCAGAAGCGACTGCCACGAGTGGCACCAACCAGGTGGAATTTTGCATCAAGATTGGTGTACACTGTATTTGAAAAGAAGGATGCTCTTAAGGATCTGTTTGAATACATAGTTGAACACCACAACGCATTTGATGATGCTGCCATTCTCAGTGCTGATGTCTACCTATCAAACCTGGGCAACTTTGAATTTGGCTTTTTCCTTTCAACTTTTAACGAGATATTTGCGCATGCAGATGTGCTCTTCGACATCTTACAGAACAAGTCATTTGACATGCAGTTTTGTCTGACAAGGGTGGAAGAGTTTTGCATTTGCATTGAAGGGCAGAGGGATCGTTTTGATCAAATATATGATGAGACTGTGCAGGACACCGGCCTGCCAACTGGACGGAGAGCCCACGGAGATTCTCGCTCACACTACAAGAAGCTGCACAATGGCATTCTTGAGAACATTTTAAATCAGGTGCAAAATCAGTTTAAAGATCACGAAAAACTGTCATTCCTTTTTCTTCTGGACCCTCAACAGTTCAGCAGTGATCAGCTTTATGACCAGGTAATCGAAAAATTCATCCAAAAGGACAGGAGGATGGATTTCGTCTTTAAGTGATGACCATTGGTGAGTGAGACTCATTTTGCTTTGCTGGTTATGCATCTCGTTGAGCTGGTTGCATTTTGTTTCCTCACACTTGTTGAATGGTTCGTTAATGTCTGTCTTGAGTGTAGTAAGCGTTGTTGTGCATTTAAATCTGACTAGTGCGGCTGCGGCGGCTGCTGCGGCGTGCGTGGGTGGGGGTGTGTGTGTGGGGGGGGGGGGTGTGGCGTTTGTGTCTACAGAAGGTCCAGTAGTGATAGGCACGGTTCGCCACTGATATATAGTAATACAAAGTGTTAGAGTGATCCTATCAATATAACTTGTGCTTGTAAAATGCATACTATGTCATTTGTATACGGGACATGTGTCACACACCAACCTCACAATATTTAACAACACTACATCGTTTTTAGCAGAACCAGAGCATCCCCTTTCAGCTGAAGCTTCATCAGAGGAGACAGCTCCATCCCTTGCCTCCACTTTAGCCCGATACAGAGAAATAGCTAATCTAATTCTGGCTGCAGTTTAAAGGCTATTAGAGGCTCTGCTCTGTTCTGCGTGTAGGGAGGGGTGGCCCTGCCCATAAGTTAATACATTTCTCTGTTGATTGACAGCTGACACAGCTAATGGTGATAGCCCTCTCGTCTTCTACACACCTTTGTATAAAAGCCTTGTTTAAGACAAGACAAAGTCCAAGTCCCTCCAGACTGAACCACTGACACATGCCTTCTTTATTTGAACGACCACATCAAACAAGAGGTGGACGAGGGTAAATACTGCGGCATGGTGATGCTGGACCTACAAAAGGCTTTCGACACTGTCAATCACCCCATTCTGATTGACAAGCTAAAAGCAATTGGTTTTGATAAACTATCGGTGAGCTGGATGCAATCCTACCTGGAGGGGAGAGAACAGATGGTGGAGGTAAACGGTACTCTGTCCCCCCCCCTCCCAGTGAGCTGTGGTGTTCCACAAGGAAGCATATTAGGTCCGTTACTGTTCCTAATTTATGCAAATGACATGTCATCAGCATGTGACTGCAACTTGTTCCTGTTCGCGGACGACTCAGCCCTGCTGGTCTCTGACAGGAGCAGATTGCAGGTTGAAAAAACCCTCAGCTCCGAGCTCGGCAGAATCTGCACCTGGCTCGCCGATAATAAATTATCATTACACCTGGGTAAAACAGAGTCCATTCTCTTCGGTTCGAAACATAATCTCAGCAAATCCGACGACTTCTCAGTTGCAGTGGGTGACATTATTGTCACAAGTAAGAAGGAAATTACATACCTAGGATCTATTCTTGAGGCAAACCTCTCCTGTGACAAAATGGCATCCAATGTAATAAAAAAAGTCAATCAAAGAACTAGATTCCTATACCGGATCTCCTCTCTGGTAAACAAAAACACCCTGAAAACTCTGGCAGGAGCACTCATTCAAGGGTACTATGACTATGCTTGCACGTCATGGTACCATAGCACCTCCAAGGCGCTAAAAATAAAACTTCAAACATCGCAAAATAAACTGGTCAGACTACTGCTTGACCTTTCATCTAGAACCCACCTCACCTCTGCCCACTTTGACAACCTAGGATGGCTTAGAGTAGACGACAGAGTACAGCTACTTGCAATGGGCCTGGTCTACAAGATCCACTACACCTCTATGGTACCCATGTACATGTCAAAATTCTTCCCAAAGGTCAAGGAATACCATGATCATAACACCAGAGGGAGCTCCACAAATCATGTAAAACCCAGATTTGGCACAAAAAAAGGGGAATACACGTTTCGCAATTATGCCACATCAAGGTGGAACGCTCTTCCCACAACTGTAAAGGAAAGTAAAACTATACTTACCTTCAAAACCTCTCTTAAAGAGCACCTTCGGGGGAAAGCATTGCAAAACTGGCCCCGGTAATGGTACAAATCTCAACCTGTCGTACAATGGACAGCTTCCCCCCCCCATCTATGTATATACTCGCATTTTAGACTCTGTTACTAACTGTATATCTGTAGACTTGGTATGTCTTAAATGTCCGGTTAGGATGTATTAGAACGAAATCTAAAATGAAAATTGTAAATAAGCCATCTGTATGTAAAAAACCACCTGTATGTAAATTGTAAATAAGCCATCTGTATGTCAAATATGTCTTATATGTCTTAAATGATATGATGAATTGGAAATGGGGGACCCTGATGTAAACAAGACGAAAGTCTTTCTCTGGTCTGCATCCCCTTAACAATTGTATGTTTTGAGCTGTACTGTACTGTACCCAATATACAAGCTGTTAATAAACTTTTCAATCAATCAATCAAACCACTGCCGCCCCTAAACAGCAGAGGCCAGTTTACAAAGGGGGAGGGATTTTGTCTCCCTCATAATGTAGCGCATGCTAAATGCTTGCATAGTGTAGGATCTGTGTGTGTGTGTGTGTGTGTGTGTGTGTGTGTGTGTGTGTGTGTGTGTGTGTGTGTGTGTGTGTGTGTGTGTGTGTGTGTGTGTGTGTGTGATACTCACTTGTGGCTACTGGCTAGCATGGTCTGAGTTGGTGATTGCTGTGAGGGCAGGATGTCATACTCATCATTGAGCTGCACACCATTAGAGAAGGGCTGCACACAGAGGAGGGGGACATTTACAAAACTGAATGTCCACTGAATGTCTTGTGAATTACAAATATATATATATATTTTGCTACAGACATCTTATGTTCCTCTGTGATTCTGGAGTAGGAGGAAGGTAGTGAATATGATTCCGCAGCTCTGCAGTAAAACTCTAAACACTTCCTGAACCATTCAAGCTGCCCACTCAAGAGGAAGTGTGGGTTTAGGGATGCAAAATATGTATTTACGTGCAAAACACTGGTTGTTGTTTTAGTTTTTCCAATCAGCAGTCTATATTTTTCTGTTATCATCCACATAAAAGACAACAAAACTATTAAATATACTAAATAAACAACTAGTTTATATACTATGTCACGTAAAAGCAATGCTGCTGAAAAGAAGAGTTACACATCCCTGTGATTACCTTAGGGATCATTGTTTTAGCTAGTGCTGGGCTGCTGGGTCACACAGCGTCACGACCCTGTCCTGCAACCGTTTATAGCTAAATCATGGCTGATCTTGGGTATTAGATGCTTCATGTCAACTTGCCAAGGTTAATACAGTTTAGGTTTGTTGATTCGGTACAAATATTGCAGCAAACTTATTTTGAATACATTAAAGTATCAAGTCACCTCAAGTCAGAATGCTCCTCAAGTCCAAATCAAGTCCCGAGTCATTGGTGTTGAAGTCCAAGTCGAGTTACAAGTGTTTTGTGATTTTGTCAAGTCGAGTCCAAAGTCATCAAATTTGTGACTCGAGTCTGACTCGAGTCCAAGTCATGTGACTCGAGTCCACACCTTTGGTCGCAGGTAATGCACCAACTATGGATAAGTACCTCGTACATCCCCACTTCAAAACACCCAAACTACCCTTTAAGGATCTAAGTGGTCTTTACGCCCTACCTTGGAGCCCTCTGAGGGGCCAGCCCCCTCCATTCGCTGATGGAACCTCCCAAATCCAGCAGAGGGACAACTGAGTGGTCTTCCGTTCGGGTGAGAGGGGCCATTGTGCCGGAGCTGGGGCAGGGGCTTTGATCCTATGGGACCCCGTGTCTCAGGGGGGGGCTGTGAGTCTGACAACATGCCGGTGGAAGATGACGAGGGAGAAGAACTTGGAACCCAGGAATGGCGCGACTCTGGGGGATTGGGAGGTGGACGCTCAGGGGGAGGGGGTGGAGGTGGTTCCCTCTGGGGAGGAGGTGGTGCTGGGAGGGGCTTGTCCTGCTTCCTGGACATGCCTGGTGAAGACTGGAGAGGTGAGGAGATGTGCTGTGTTTTAATTTAATGACAGAAGACAATCCAAGACAGAGCCTCATTTGTACATCACACACCTCTCTTTGTGTTCCATTGTTTGTACTGTGTGTATTGCAGGAAGGCTAGTGAGCACACTGTGGAAGCTACACGTAAAGCACATATATAAAACACATCTATGCAAAGATAGCCCAGTGTTCCCATTCAGTGTGGTCTCAAATCTTCATGGCATTTTAGAGCTGTCAAATCAAAAGTGATCTGTGGCCTCAGCCTGCTGCTAACCCTGCCTTTCAAAAGGTCTCATGTATCTACTGTATCCTTGTACTTTCTCTAACTAACTGATTCCTGTGTTTACACCTTATTTAGTGTTTTCTTAAGCCATACCTTAAAATAACCTTTGCTTTTATATAAAATTACTATCATATACACTAAGTGCAGGAAAATACAGCAGACCTATTTTTCTTAATATTTTTGAGTTGGGGAATAAAATCAGTGACCTTGGGGGAGCCGTTGGGGCTGGCCGATGGAGAGCGGATGGCGCCCTTCTGGATGAGGTCGAGTCGTGGCGGGACGGGGGGGAGGCCGAGATGCTGCACGCAGTGGGGGTCTCCCCCGTGGACCTTTCTGTGTTGGCTGAGAGGGGAAGAGCTGGGAGACACCATGGGGGAGTTCTGCCGCTCTGCACAGTGCTGACAGGAGAGAAAATAACCTCTTCAAATGCTTCAGGCCATCAAAGAGCTTTCCCTTTATACACTTTGATCAGGGACAGAGAGACAGAGACTGACCATAATGCACTATGGATCAAATACTTTAAAAGGCCCCTAAATTCAAGAGATCTTCGGATGTGTGAAAGCAAGTGGTAGTAAAAATAATAATTTCAGTTGAATTTTCTGATAAAGATTAAGAATAGCAACATTTTAAAACATGTTCTGGACTGACTGTACAAAATATGATTGACATATTCGCTGAAGCAATATGTAGGTGAAATGTAGTTTTGGCTGACTATTGCATTTGATTTGTAAAGGATGTTGCATGTATCAGCATTGCAAAAAACAAATCAAAAGATGGCACTGATTTAGTTTGATATCATGTACTTGTCACTGGAATTCTCTTTATTATGTTTTTTCTTTTACATTTGAATTTTAGGAATTAACCTTTATTTAATCAATTGTATTATATATGATTTATATATGGGATGAGTGTTTAGCTCACATTTCATTGCTATTAATTACAATCACATTTATCCAGAATAACATATGAAAGTGTAAAAGGTTAGAATAAAAGAAAAAAGCATGGTTTTTCTTCCTATATATGGCTCTTTTAGTGTGTGTGTTGTTAATCACGTGATTGCTTGAGGGTTCCCTTTTAAAGGTTACCCTGACACTGCTCAGGAGAGCATTCGTTCTCAGAGTTTGATAAATATCGCTCAGCCGGACCATCAACAGAGCCACTAGCCGCTGAGATCACTAGTCTTTACCTTTCGGATGTTGGCCAGTCCATTCATGACCAGGCAGTCCTCTCGGTCCTCGTCCTCATCCAGCTCCAGCAGGGGGCAGCTGAGCTGGTCCAGGAAGAAGCACTTGGTGCCCTCATTTCGGGGGTCAAAGGGATCAACAATGATGGGCTCAGTGCCTTTGATCTCACAACGACAGAACGGACAGCCCTGACCATCTGATTCCTGGAACAGATAAGGGAAAGAGTTTGTATTGAACCGAATATTTTATGCAATTTAATTTTCCTCTAATGATCTGATGAGCGTGGCTCATCTTTCTGTTGGGTTTGAGAACATGAAGAATCACTTAGGCCGTCAACAGGAAGGCTGTTCCAACACACAGCTGGGACACACATGGGAAGGCTATGTGCTGCACTATTGCCCTATGTCTTACTCTATGTCCCCGACTCATGAAAGGACTCGGGTTGGTTGACAGGACACATGTTTGTGCATATATTCGTCAGGGAAAACTGTTCTGTGACTTTACAACATTCATTGGCTACATGTACATATTCCACATGGCAGCCTCTGTCATAAAGGGTTCATAAATAAGAGGTTAAAAGGGTCTACAGTCAAAGGCAGACAGTTTATTACAGAAGAAGGCTGAGTGTGTGGTGGCCATATGGTCGGGACTTGGTGGGGGCAGCACCAAAGGCATGTTTGAAACGGAATCATAATGGGTAGGAGGAGAGGGGAAGGAGTGGGATGTGAAAAGGAGGGGAACCATGATGAGGAAAAAGGGTGAGATAAGAAACAATACAATACATTGATATTTTGAAGTGTTCGCTACATTAACACATCCAGTAGACAGAGTGTGAGCCACATTAAAAAAAATTGAATAAATTCAAATGTTATTTTTTAGCTCTGGATTGCTCTCTACCATCGCTGCTCAAAGCTCCAGAAACCTGCTAATGAACATATGCTGATGATCATTTACAACTACTGTTAACAGTGTTACTGTGGCAGAACAATATACTGAAGATTGTGCACCTGCCAGCTGTCATCCTATCCATTGTTAAATAAAGGTACTGATTGGAGCAGCTTTTAACATCGTCCACATCACCCTGTGGCCTTACTGTTACTTTCTAAGGCACTTAGTCTTGACACAATCATTAGTAAGCTACACAAAGCTTATCATCTCATGAAATATACAGTCTTGTAAATATAAGACAGACTGAGAATCACCCAGCGAGTCCTAGCTCCATTGAGTCAGGGTAAAACTAAGATCTAAAACTAGGACACACTCTTATGTACCTCATACTCTGAGAGATCAAAAACTAACAGGATGTGGAATTACATGGAGCACGAGCCAGCTGGGACTGAGGAGTCAGCGTCTGAGCCCAGCTGACTCATACAGAGAGAGGAAAGATATGGAACCAAAACCGAGACAAGACCTTACCGGGTTCCCTCTCTCTCTGACTCACAGTTTCACTAATGTGGAGGAAAATACTTCACTGCTGAAGCACACACACTGGTATACGTCACTCAGTCACTGGCTGAGATTGTGGAAGAAGGCAGGGTCATGTTGAGTTGTCATAACAGGAAGTATGACAAACACACACTGTTATTTTGGGTGCTGCCAGGCCCACGCTCCACATAGCCCAGGACGCGCTCTGGAAACACCGCGCTTTAAACTTACAGCTGTGTGCAAAGTAAAGACACCCAAAGCTGTCCAACACTGCAGCAGGAATATTTCAGAGACGTGGTCAGATCACCACTGGCTACGCTCCAAAAGCTGCTCAAACACTTACATCAGGGTCCAGTTGTTTATGTCAGGGACAATTGAACTTAAATTGAGTGGACCATAGATCCCAATGTAACAAACACTTTTATCTCCGTAAAAATGTATTAATTATTTGTTGTGATAACTGTGGACAAAAAATTATCTGGGGGAACTAGCCCAAAAAACGTCTATGGACATAGCAGTAATGTCTTATTAGGTCATTACAAACAGGCAAACTTCTGATGCACAACACCCATCCACAGCAGTGTGCTCAGTGTAGACATGACACCGAGACAGAGCTGATGATGTGCAGATTCTGGCATTAACCCACAATGGCCCTTGGATGTGAGATGGCAGCAGCACTCGACCAACGACACTTGTGCCCCATGTTCAGAGATTTGATTTTGAAAAGAGTTTATGCAATAAGGTTGATCACGATACCTGCCAAGCTGTAAGACAGGAAGTACACATGAGGTGACCGCAGGGTTCGATCTTGATGTCTTTGTCGTTCTCAGCGCAGATCTTACACAACTGGAAGGTGGAGCCCATTTCACAGTACAGCTCATACTGCTCCTGTTTGGACAGAGCAAACTCCGGTTATTCATTCAATGATTCATTTATCAAACCAAAGAAGAGTACAGACACAAATGTAGTATACAGTCACTACATGCGTCCATAAACCGTATGTTCATATTGTATTATAGATGCTTTCCGGAACAGAACCCCGATTTTCTTTTACATTACGAAATATTTGGTCAAGTTCAGTCAGTTATCATTGAACATTTTCCACACTTAGATGTCATCAGGTAGTCTGCACCTTCATGATGTATGCTAGCTTTCTATGGATAAGAAATTCCATGACTAGTAGGAACCATGAACATTACTCCGCTTATCTAGAGGAAACATGTTTTCACACGCACACACACGCACGCACACGCACGCACACAAACAAACAAACACAAACACACTAAACCCACTTGTGTCACTTTGATGTGATCATGAGGCGTTGGCTCACATAAACCAGTAAGGTCAGGATTGTAACTGCGACCATCAGGGAACAAGTAGCTGTGAAGGAGAAGAAACGTTCAAACAAGCTAAGGTTACAAACAAACAGATATTGGCTCTAAACATTTGGATCAAAGACATGTTTTGGGAAATTACAGAAAGTAAGGTAGCTAACACTAGGTTTAATTAAACTGTAGCCCAAAGTGTGACAACATCTGGGATAAATGTGCCCACATTTTTAAATAGAAAAGGCTCTATCCTCATATCAAACCTGATCAAACCTGTTGGAAAGTTTTTCACTGATGTCACATTTCTGTGACATGTGATGTTGGCCAGATGATCTGCCCTGACATTTCACCAATGTTTAGTTTGTTTACATTTCTTCTTGTGCAAAGAACAGGAATGCAACACTGTGTTTGTTTGGTTTTCTCTTGTGCTTTCATGTCTAGCATGAATGGACTAACTACACCAGCATTTCTAATGCAACCCTGTGCAAATTCCATTCTTGTAAATGATGAAGAAAGAATACTTCAAATTAGTGATAGGAGAACTACAAGCAGAAATAGGAGCACTTGCTTTCATTGTTTTACTTGAAATGTGTTACAGAATATATATATATATATATGTATACATACATTAAAATACAATATAGCCAAAAGCAATCATTACAGAGCTGAGCAGTAACTCTTTTCTAATTCAACCCACAATGATTGAAATGTAACAGAGGCACTGACGGGAAGTGAACTTCCCCCAGAGTTTCACTGGGTCTCCGTGGTTGATCAAAAACAGATGTCATTAAAATAGCCCCCCCTTCACTCTTTCTCCATCCTCCCCCCACTCCCCGGTTACAGAGGACTGCTTAAACAGCCTCAACCAGCTGCTACTACGGTGATCCAAATGCTCACACTAAAGGGAGGGAAGCCTGTCAGATTACCAGGTGTGACAGGAACAGCCATTTCATCGAGGAACTTGATTTCAGTTAACCTGTTAAGCTAAGGTGACCAGATTTTCAAAATTAAAACCGGGGACATTTTGAGTTTTGTGGTCAATATATCATTAACATATCCAATTTTCTTCACTGTTAAAGAAAAAAGGGGGACAATTCTGGTTCAATGTAATTCGAACATTTGAACTGTTGGATACAAATAGAAGGACGATAGCTCATATATGAGACTTCAAAGGTCTTTTATTTTGAAACTGTACATCAGATTGTCCTGATTCTCTCTGAGTGATTAGATGGGGTGTCCTGCAATCACCCTGAAGTGAAATAAGTCTTTGATACTGACAGGGGCGGATCCAGACAAATATTCATGGGGTGGCAAGAGGGTGGCAGGAGATTTTGAGGGGTGGCATTCCCTGGCAGAAGTATATGCTGATTTAATCGCAGTCATATCAATCAATGTTAACTTGGAAAGCCACAATATTAATATTTTAACTCAATAACATTAGGTGACATTATTGTGGCACATCAGTAAAGCCTTACATATAAATATATAAGGTGGCAGACATAATTTAATGAATTTGAACTGAACAATAACTGAATGAGTTTGTCTCACTCTTAGACTAGCAGGGGTACCAAATCTATCCAGACTGCTGCAATAAGTACATGAATTAACTGTCTCATCGATGTTTGTCTGAATGAATATGATACTATTAACAATCATATTATTCCTATCAGCTGTCAATCACTGTTATGATTCACATATTCATTTATTATTGAATAAACTATATTTTTTGGAGGAGTTCATGATGAATGTTCCTCAAGATGCTTGCTCACCCTCCTTCAAATTTGAAAGACAAGTAATTATATCATATATCAAAATTCAACAGTTCAACAGTTCAGCGCCCCACAACTTCATTGCAAACAGTTACAACCTGGACTTTACATCAGAAAGAACAAACATTAAAGAAGTGACTAACTGCATCAGTTAGGGGTTAAAAAACGTGTATTCAGCTCAAACATATACATCGCTGCAGTAAGTTATTATCCAGTGGAAAGTCCTTACCTACTGGCCTAGTTAAATCAAAGTGGTTACTTTTGTTTGGCTGGGCAGTGTAGTTTTACACACCGTCTTATTTGACTTTCTCAGGACTTAAAACTGTTTTTGGGGGCAGACCCCCACAAAGAAAAAAATATATACACACATACAAGGTCATCATCTTAACAGTTTTGTATGCTCATCGAGTCATCCGTGAGCAGAGCATCAAGTTGACATGCCTATTACAGCTGAATGCGGCGATTACCATGTTGTTCAGCAAAACGCCTCACAAACTTATTAAGATCAACAGCTTTAGTGCGTTTTGATTCAATGCTGAGTACAGCCAAACTTGACAGTCTCTTCTCTGTCATTGTAGACCGCAAATACCTAATTTCTTCCGTCTACTTGGGTCCGAATGCTTCTCCTTTTGCGCCGTCCCCCCGTTCAAATGAAATCGCCGCCAATCATATTTCCAAGCTCGCGCCAGGGACGGGGGAGGGGTTACAAGGAGGATTTTCTCTCATAAATGTCCGATGAGCCACAACTTTTCTTTCAGAACAAAGATGCCAACTGGGGTGGCAAGGCTATTTTTTAGGGTGGCAGTTGCCACCCCATGCCACCCCGGTAGATCCGCCCCTGCATACTGGATAGTTTTTGTTTTATTCTTATCTAAAAACAGAGGGATGATAGCTCATATATGAGACTTCAAAGGTCTTTTATTTTGATACTCTACATCAGATTGTCCTGATTCTCTCTGAGTGACTAGATGGGGTGTCCTGCTATCACCCTGGAGTGAAATAAGTCTTTGATAATTTGACAGTTTTTTTATTTATTCTTGTATAAAAACAGAAGGACGATAGCCCATATATGAGATTTCAAAAGTATTTTATTTTGAAACTCTACATCAGATAGCCCTGATTTTCTCTGATTGACTAGATGGGGTCTCCTGCTATCACCCTGAGGTGAAATAAGTATTTGATTGACTCCGAATTACTCTGAGGTTATGGACAGTTTCCATTAAATAATAGTCAAAATATAGATGGACAATTTGAGATTTTAAACAGCATACATTTTAAATTGTGCTTCAGAAAGTAATGTTATTTTAGGAGTGTTGTGAGATGGTGTCAACATCAATTGAAATTAGTCACCCAGTGGAAATGTCAGATATGTCTTCATAACTGTATACTTACATTTTACATTCACTCATATATAATGTTATAATGTAGTAGTTATACGTAGTTTGTTTTAAATTATTATTGATCACATTATATAGTACATATTTCTTAATTTAAGCTCCAGTATATATGAATATGTTTGGTGTGTTTTTTTAGGTATATTTGTTATTGACCGAGTAAACACTTTTATTTTGAAGGCAGTTTTTACAGGCCTCTACCGTAATGCATAGGATATTCGCGCACCGCAATACAACGTGCGGGCTGGCTTGACTGTGTTTTCTGTTTACCCAGTGTTTCCTGACATGAAACGTTTTATTTCGCTTGCTTTACTCGTTGAAAGTCATCACATCATTACGAGGTCAGAGCTGAGGTGAGGTCCGCACGCACTCCCTCCTGTTCATACTGCCAGTAACTGCCTGTGCTGAAGTGGTTTTCTCCCGGAGACGTCGCGAAGAGACGGAGCGGCTCCACCTGCTGCTGCCTGCTTTCCACCTGTCTGGTGTCTGGTGTCTGCGATCTGCGGAGGCCTGCTCCCACCTGTAGAGTACGGCTGTGCTGAGGAGGTTTTTACCCCGGAGACATCGCGGAGAGACGGAGTGGCTCCACGCTTCGGGCTGGGGCCTGCTTCCACCGGGCGTGTGCTGCTGTGAGGAGGAGGATTTACCGCGGCTGGGGCCTGCTTTCCACCTGTCCTGGTTCTGCTGTTGCGGAGGCCTGCTCCCACCTGTTGTGTGCTGCGGTGTGGTGTGCTGCTTTGCTGAGGAGACCTTTTACCCCGGGGATACCACGGAGAGACCGGAGCGCTTCCACGCTGCTGCTTTCGCCTGTCCTTTGCTGCTGTGCTGATTTGCTCCAGGAACATCGCGGATACTGTGTGCTGGTCTGGGAAAATGGCCCATATCGTGATTCTGCTGTGCCTGTTAACTGTTCTGGACTATGAGAAGATCTCTAGTCATTCTGAGAAGTCTACTGGATTCAGTTCTAGTCTGCCACCCGCACTGGGCATCCCCTGCAAAGGTTCGGATGTGTTACACAAACAGTTACCGGTTGCCTTGTCACAGACAATCTGCTCGACAAAATATGTTTGTCTTTTTTGTTTTCCTGCGATGATGGTTCTTCAGGACTGCTTCTTAAACTCTAATCAAACTCTCGCAGACTTTTCCGGTGATTCTAAAGTAGATGACAATGTATGTGTGTCGTTTAAGAGGAAAAGATGCCTGTTTTTTTTGTTGTTATTACTGTCAGGAAATGTTCAACCTAACCCTGGTCCGCCCAGTAGTAGTAGTCAGATCGCTAGTCCTGCTGATTTTAAAGCTAGGTCTGGGTTGGGTTTCATCCACTTGAATGTGCGCAGTCTATTAGGTAAACTAGATTTTGTCCGCATTTGGGCAAGCTCGACTGACGCTGACGTCATTGTTTTATCAGAAACATGGCTAAATAAATCTATTTTGGCCTCTGACATTGCCTTAAATGGTTATAATGTGTATCGTTCCGACCGGCCTAATAAAGGTGGTGGCGTTGCCATTTATGTTAAGAATAAGTTCAGTGTAACCACATTAGTTTCCAAATCTATCAGTAAGCAATTCAAATTTTTAGCCTTAAATATAGAAGTGGCAAAGGGGCAACAGGTCATGGTGGTGGGCTGTTACAGACCCCGCTCAGCTGGCAAGGACTCCTTGTCTTCGCTAGCAAAACTTTTATCTCAACTAGACTATAAGGAAATAGTGCTACTTGGAGATTTTAACTGGGACTGGTTAACTTCTGTGTCAGAGGATTTAAAAAACCTTTGTATCTCTCTGAATGTTACTCAGATTGTTGACAGTCCTTCTCGCCCTAACATTAAGTCCCCTAATAAATCCTCCCTAATTGATCTCATTCTAACTAATGTTCCCTATAAATACTCATC